GGCAAAAGAAAAAGGGAAACAAAGATACAGGGTTCCTGCAAAATAAATGGTTTCTGTCCATCCTCAATAAAGGCAACGTTTTTTGAAAATGTAAATGTTGATGTAAATGTACTGTGAGACTCATGTAGGCCACACTTTTGACCTAGCTCACAAACCATTGACCTTTGATGAACGTCAAGATATCGCCGGAAAAATATCAAATAAAATTCCTTTTGGCACAATACTTGAAGAAGTTCGGTCAACTTTGCAACCAAACTCGCTAAAAAGAATACATTTACTGACGAAACAAGATATGTATAATATTTGAAAAAGAATTCGGTCTTAATGAGACTATGCGTCATTCGAACGATGCCATTAGTGTCGAAGCATGGGTGCAAGGCCATAAGGGTGAAAATGACTGTGTTTTGTTATATAAACCACAAGGTGTTGATGAAACTGCCACATTCGCCAAGAATGATTTCGCTCTTGCAATAATGACTGAGGCACAAGGAGAACTTTTGAAAAAGTTTGGTTCAGACTGTATTTGTATTGACGGTACTCACGGTTTGGGCGCTTATGATTTTGAAGTGGTAACCGTTATGGTAATTGACAATATGAGACAAGGATTTCCGTGTGCATTTTTTATCACAAACAGAACAGATAAATCTGCTGTGAGTGAATTTCTTTCAACAATCCATACAATCTTTCTTTAATAATACATTTTAATAATTTTTCCCCCAATTTTTATTTAATTTATATAAATGTCATAATATTTACTTATCATTTAATTTAAAACAGATTGTAAATAAAACCAATAAAACTTTGTAAAAAAAAATATATTTAATAATTTTTAATCATTAGGTAATAATCAACCATCAATTATAAATTAAATGAAATAGTAACAGCTGACACATTCTTATTTTCTAAGTTAAAGTTCTTGTACTTCACATTTTTTTACTTGCCTTGAATTTTCATAATTTGAGTATTTACTTGAACAGAAGTGAATAAGCATGAGTATTTACTTGTACTTCTAAAAAGCCTTTCCAAGGAAGTATATACCCTCAGAAACCTATAAATTTGGTGTGAATAAGAATAACCACCAGCAAATACTTGCCTAAAGAGTAAATACTTGTTTTTCAACTAGTTATCAGTAACCCATGCTTGTTTAAGTTAACTTGTTGATAAATGCATGTAACACATTCAGTATGGTGTAATACACTTATTTAAATTATGTATGACTCTAGTGATTTCCGCAAAATAATGCTTGGGTTGAAGATGGAACCTTTGTGGTATTCCTTCGTTATGTTCAAGCTATTTGTTAATGAAAATCCATCCACAAGTCTCAATAATGCAAAACCTTCACATTTTACATGTTTAAATGAAGGCCTTATACCTTCAATAATATATATATTTATCATATATAGCCTATAATATATATATATATACTTGTACTGTATAATGTTTACTTTAAAATGGAGTACATACTTGCAAGTATACCCTCATATCTGATAGATCAGTATACCATCTCATTTAGGAAGTATTTACTTGCAAGTAAAGAGTCGCTTTTATTCACAAGAGATTACTTGAACGATGAATACTTGTAAGTATTTACTCGCAAGTAAATACTTGCTGTACTTGTATTCACTCGGCCCAGTGGTATGCTAGTGAAATCTTTTACTGAAATAAAAGTTTTTGAACTTGAACACACACACTGACATCCCAGATATTTTCACAGAGATACTATGGTACCTACAAACATAAACGTAGACCCATGCTGAGTAACTTGTGACACTGACAAACAAACAAAATAAACAAGTAGGCCTATAGAAAATTCACAATAAGATATTTCTCATTTAAAATAGCCTAATTTTTATGTTAATTTTGTTGTTACAGTTTTCAAGATGAAGAAAATGTTGTAAATAAATGTAAATATTATTTGTGTGTGTTACTGTGTAATATAATATGTGTTAAATTGTCGCTTTTTAAGATCAGGAATTTTAACACGAGGTATGTTACTACCCAGACAGCACACTTTCTCCTCAGGACATCCCACGGATATTGCGACAGGATATGCAAGATATCCCATAGTGGTCCTATGGTCAACTTGGGATATCACAGGATATCCACAGGAATGCCTAATGTCCCCGCCCGGGGATGTCCTACGGATAAGCTCACACGCATATCCGTGGGACATCCGAGGTCATCCCAGGGTAGTCCTCAGGACATTCTCAGGACATATGGGACTACTATGGGATGTCCCTGGGATAAAGTGTGGTCTGGGCCTGAACATAAAAAACACAAAATAATATAGATTTAGTATGAAAAGCTTAATTATAAGTTTAGTAAATTGATTAAATAGTTAATAAACACAAATTTTGAAGAAAAAAACGAGAAAAAAGTTTTTGGCCCAGACGGGTTTCGAACCTGGTACCTTCGCCTTGTGAGCCTCTTACCTTACCTCCTGAGCTATCTGCGCTTGTTGATTATGGGTGTTTTCAAGTGGTTAAAGAGTAGCCGACAGTTGCAATGGTCGCAATACAGTACTTAAAATATTTTTGATACTACAGTATAGGCTATATATGATTCTGTTAATCTGTTTAGGCCTAAAGTAGTTGAATTGTTTTTCTGGTAGTTGGAGAGGATACTGGTATTTGAATATAGATTATTTAATCACCATTAGATTAGCACTGTAATAATTGATTGTTATATGATTAAAATTAGTTTTTTGTTGTTTTATTAATTTAAAGTTAGAATTAAATTCACATTCCACACAACTATGATAGAACTCTAGTTTTCCTGAACTCCGTGGTAGTAATATGTCAGTAAAGTAAAGTCAACCCTTGCTAGCCATAGTATTAACAAGACATATTTTCAATCTGGGAAACCTTAAACTTTTAAAATAAATTATAAAACCTCAACATCTTAATGCGTGGGAATCTTATTTTTAGAAAAAAAAACAGACCAAAATTATTTGTTAAATAATGAAGACGGCCCAATTATAAATTAGGAATTACTGAAAATAATTACATCAAGAACAACACTGTAACATATCCAAAATTCAAAAGATTAATTTTTCTAATATTATTTTTTATTTTTCCAATATCCTTTAAATCATCTGTTTTAACTTTGTTTAAAATTAATTTATTGAGTAAATATTTCCTTTTTGTTCTAGTGTAAACACAGCCTGAAGATGGAAACCAAGTTTCTGAAAGCACTAGTGAAAAAAACAAATTATTATATATTGGCCTTGTTGAACATTTAAATTTAGATATACTGTACATTTCATCAGTGGTAGTATTTTTTTCCTTCAGTTTGTTACCGGGACATTACGGGACATTACAGGATATCCAGTGGATTTTGTACATGTCCCGGGATGTCATGGGACATTCTGGGATATCCTATGGCATTCGTACATATCCCGGGACTTTACAGGATATCCTGAGGTTAACTTACAAATCCCGGGACATTACGGTATATTGTAGGATATCCTGTGGATTTCGTACTCGTCCCGGGATTTTGCGGGATATCCTGAGGATAGCGCACATATCCCGAGACATTCTCAGGACCTATGGGACTACTATGGGATGTCCCTGGGATAAAGTGTGCTGTCTGGGTAGTTTTAAAATGTTCACAGCTGAAAATAGGCCTACCTGTAAGCTATAATTTAGAACGACATGGAATTAAACTTTTTCTTTCTATACTTTTGTTATTTAAACAGTGTAAACATCAAGTAATAATAGTTAGGATTTTTATGTAATTCATCTTTATTACTTTATTTGGACTTATATGGCTATTTTAAATTAAATTTTAATAATTATTCTAGAAATAATTTTCAATTAACATATTGACTTATATAAACATTAAACGGCTACTGTACTTTGTTCCCGCGTAATTTAAAACAAGCTCGGTGATAACAGAAGCAGAAACCCGCGGTCAGATGTTTAAGGTGCATTGTCCCTGAAGCGACTCTTGCGATAGTAGCTGAGCGATAGTAGCTCAGCGATAGTAGCTGAGTACTGGTTAGCGTTGTTTCAAATGGGACCATTGTCCTTGACGCGACTGCGACTGGAGCGGCTAGCGGCTGAACACAGCGACTGTAGCGGGTCTGCTCTGAGGGGAGTCAGAGTCGCAGTCGCTGAGCGATTTGTATTTTGTGTAGACTTGTTTTGGTCGTAATGTCTTCAAAGAATACAAAACTGCTTTCTATCCCTGAATAAGAGGAAAAGCTGTTAGTACAGAATAAGTATTGAATAAATACTTGAAGATTTAAAACGTGGGGCGCATGCTAATTTAGAATTATCTTCACCTATTGAACTATTACTATCCATTGCATGCTCCCCACGTTTTTCGTTTTAAATCTTACAAGTATTTATCCTCTCCACATATTTTTTAATTCTTTTTAGTTTTGAGTGTGTTTAAAACGTGGTATTTAAAAAAATATTTTTATTTGTAATTATTTTCTACTAATTTTAGAAATAATTTTAGTATTTACAGCTGACTTCAATTGATATATTTAGGGTTACATTCTTCCAAAATGTAAACATGAAAAATTTGGAAGCCCATGGGGCTTAGCCCAAGGGAAATATGAAAATTAAATTATATAATATTGCATTATCATCCATTTTTGAGCTATGTTTCAAGTTTCAATTCTCAAGCTCGTCGGGAAGTTAGTTATTGATTGCAAAGTTTGTACCGGACAAGAAAGTGAGCTAATAAAAACGTTTTAAAATTAGCTGGTGTCATGGCACTCATGGCACCAATTCACTCGAAAAGTCAGCAAAATGAACAAAATCGCTCTAGAACAATCGCTTCAGGGACAATGACATGGTTAGCTACTATCGCCGAGCTACTATCGCTGAGCTACTGTCGCTCAGCTACTATCGCAAGAGTCGCTTCAGGGACAATGCACCTTTAGTTCGGATTTCAATTCCGCTGTCCCGTTTCTAGACAGACGAAAAAAAGGCGGTGACGGTCTGACGGCAAGGTCTCGTGCACGTTGCACTGCACACCAACCACACACACACGCACTGACTGGCTCTGGCTGCCTAGACGCCTATTAATCACATTAATTAATGTTGTTAATGTTACTTAAGTGTAGTTTGACTTTTGAATGGTCATACCATACCTTACGTTGTGCCTTTTAAAAATAATTTTTTTTAAGTTATACAAGAATAGGCTACATTACCGCGTAGTGTGAAAATTGTGTTTTTTTTATAGCTCAGGTTTATAACCTAGAATGTTTTTATGCCATCCATAACCTAGACATGTGAAGAACAACTACCGTAATTTGTGCTTCCTAAATAGCATGATGACTTGAATCTTAAAATAGTGTAACAGTGTAACTCTTTCTATACCAGTGATAGTACAGACTTAAACCAACTTTACAGCCTATTAGAAATAGCCAAATCCCTTTGGTCTAGGCTAGCTTAAGTTATATTGTCATTGTCACTTTGGTTTGACTCATGAATTAACTATGGAGTTTGTTATTGGTGGTTTAGCCGCTGTTTCTGCTGCATGTTTTACCAACCCCCTTGAAGTTGTTAAAACAAGGTTGCAATTGCAAGGGGAACTTAGAGCTAAGGGACACTACACGGTGCATTACAGAAATTTCTTTCATGCATTTTACATAATTGGAAAAACAGATGGCTTATTAGCGCTACAAAAAGGCTTAGTACCTAGTTTGATTCACCAAGTACTCTTGAATGGCACAAGGCTTGGTATTTACCAGTTTGCCGAAGAAAGGAAGTGGCATCTGAAAGACAATGGAGATGTTTCATTGGCTAACACTATTGCTATCGCTTCTACGGCTGGAGCAATTGGAGCATACACTGGAAGTCCTCTTTATTTAGTAAGTTGATAGGCTATAAGAATTTTACACATCCTAAGATAAAGATTTAAGTAAGTTTAAGATGGTATAAAATCATTTGTTGAGGTAAATACGGTTGTATAACTTAGTCGTACCATTTTAAAACTCAACTGCTAAAAAACCCCAAACTTTTTCATATTTTACTACGGTCATAAGGATGTTCTCAGAAAACAAGAAACATATAATTCAAGCCCCGCAAGGTTAGGTTAGGTTAATTCATAATGATCCTAGAGGTACCGGTATGTGAATTATATTAGCCTAGGAGGTTAATAATATGAATTAACCTAACGTAACATAACATAACGGTACTGTCACAACTGGCCCTCCGCACGTCTCCCTCAAGCCACTGTTATCGCGTAGACTTTGAACCTTCTTATCGCTCGGCAACCTGTACGATGGCCTTGCGGGGCTTGAATTAGGCCTATATGTTTTTTATTTCCTGAGAACATCCTTATGACCGTAGTAAAATATGAAAAAGTTTGGGGTTGACCAAGTAATTGCTCAGAATTACCTCCCTAATTCTATTCTAATTGACTATGTTGAGGCTACACCTCTACATAAGTACCTCTATGTAACTTAGAGGTGTAGGCCTATTGTATACTGTAACTTAGGCCTAGTCGATGCCCAAAGAAATTTACAGTAGGCAATTGTCATAAAAATAACCTCTGTAGGGTGACCCGGGGCAATTCTGGCACGGGGCAATTATAGCAATGGCCTATATTTTTTTTAAATTTCAGCTTTACAGATCAGTGAAGCAATATTTGTTATTTCAGCATATACCTCCTATATATAGGAAAGCATTTTTGTAAAAATAAAATGTTTGCAGTAATTTTTATTAGCGATTAAAAAAGGACTTTCTTCCACAGCCCGAGGATATCGAAACATCGCACACGGCTAATTTTTTTTCCCCTATGAATTTTATATTTTATTTTTTTTATACTCAAAGATAATTGTTCAGACTTAAAACTTCATGAACAAAAATAGTAATAGCAGTTATCCCTTTAAGATATTTAAATTTAAATGGGTGCTATAATTGCCCCATTTTCATATGCTATGGGGCAATTGTGGCAAAGAACCCGGGGCAATTATGGCAGCTATATATCTTTATACAAATAATGTATAAATTAAAGAATAAATTGTATAACAACGTGTGTTATGTGTAATATGTTTCATTTCAGTTCATTTGGATGGCTTTGTAAACACCTTTTGCTTAGATTACTCTATGGCAGCCTGATTATTTTTATTGTTTATTGTTGCTAGAAGTTTTGAGGTTAAGGCCCTTGTACGCTTGTACTGTCTTACCGGTTTATTCACAACTTCCTTATAAATAGAGATAGAACAAAAATTAAAACACCATCTTAAACAGCTAAATTAGGCCTATGCCATGATTGCCCCAATGTCAGAGCAATTTAAACAATAAGGAAAATATAAGGTATTGCTATAATTGCCCCAAGGTTGGGGCAATTCTGGCATCTGACACTCCAAAAAAAAAAAACCTCAAACCCCCTTAAGGGGAGTTTGAGATTGTTGTCTAAATATATGAAAACACTAGAGGAATAACATAGAATTACTATGGTAATTGTCAAAATAAAATGAAAAATATGTTCACCGCGGTACAAGCAGTTAAAGTTAAGGTTCACGTCTGGCTGCCAGAATTGCCCCGGGTCACCCTATATCGAATATGATTGGTTAAAAGCTGTTTATCAGCAGTGTCAGCCATGAAAGGAGGCCAATCTCAACTAACCTATTGACAAGGATCACATGGTTCATTATGTCATCTTGTAAACTCTTCTTTTATTACAGGTATTTTTCCTAACAAATTAAAGATTTCTAAGATTAAACCAGTCTTTAAAAAGGGAGACCCCGCTATACCTTCAAACTATAGACCTATATCTTTACTACCATCCTTTTCTAAGATCTATGAAAAAGCTATGTGTATAAAACTAACAGAATTTCTGGAAACCTACAACTTGATAGATAAAGAACAACATGGATATCAATCCGGCAAGTCTGTGATTTTCTCCATAAGATAAGAAAAGGTACCTCTTGTCGGGACCGCAAAATTTGTGAGATATTTTGTTCTCCATACACTGAACTTTGTTATAGTTCTCTAAATTTCCTCTAGAATGCAGGACAATTCATTTTTTGGCCTAAAAATCTGTTTAAAAAGTGAATATTAGAAATGGGACCTTTTGTCGTTATGGTGAAATAACATTGAACGACAAGAGGTACCTTTTCTCAGACCGTGCAGAAGCTAACAAAATAATTTATTTCAACCTTTTATGTCTTCAATTTGATATTTTAACCGATACTGTCCTGTTCTATGATAAATGAGGAATAACAATCGATAAAAACCTGAATTTTGATATTTTTAACCTTAATTACCGTACTTATATCGGCCGTACTGAAGATTTTGCATCGCCAACAAGAGGTCCCTTTTCGCTTTCCACTTTACAAATTATGTCCTTTTGGAAACATTAAAAATAATTTACTTTGCTTTTAGTCACTCCCACATCTCCTTTGACATAATTTTATATGGAGCAACCTCTCAAGAAAATTTGGAACAAATATTATTATTTCAAAAAGAAGCACTTCGTATCTATCATGTTAAGCATTCAAGATTGGAGTACCTCAGTTAAAGAACATTTTTCAAAACTTGGTATTTTTACTGTTTTTGCCCAATATATCCTTGAACTTGATCTTGTTTGTAAAGAATAATTTGCCAAAATTTGAGACCTTGGGTTCATGCCACAGCTATGGGACAAGGCACAGACACAAAATCTATTTTTCAAATCACAACTTAAAATTCTTTGAAAATAAACCTTCATGTTGGGATTAAATTTTATAACCTTCTACCTGATAATATTTTACAAATAACAGACAAAAATAAATTTTAAAAACAGCTAAAAACGTTTATGTTATCCAAGCCCATTTATTCCCTAGATGAATTTTTTGGTTGACTGTGTTGTAAGTTTGTAAGTTATAAGTTTTTGTATTTTTGTTTAGCCTTTTTATATAAGTTATGGCTAGTTTTAACAATATCATTTAATTGTATAACACCATTCTGGTGCAACATGTTGTAGGCCTACTCCTGAATAAAGATTACTTATATGACTATAGACATCACGAACAAAACAACCTGCACAGAAACGAAAAGATGACGTGGTTCGCCTGGTAGGTGTGGCGTACCATTCAAACCTGCGCGGCTCGAAACGGCCCAGGGTTCTTTTGTTTCTGGTATTACTATATGACTATGACTATGGTTGACCCTGTCAAAGGCTTTAGACGGATCTAAACAGACCCCAGCCACTTTACAACCATTATCTAAAAAGTTAATAATTGTAATTAAGTTATATCGGTCACAGGTCTAGGTCTTTAAATAATCAGTGCCGGTAATAATAAATTACGGTACATTAAAAAGCAATAGAAATAATTACCTATATGAAGGCATTACAGTCTCCCTCTTATCCAGACACCTTTTAACTCATTGCAGCATAGTGTTACAGTAAATGTAACACCAAATGTTTGTCCATTGTTTCACAGTGTTACACTTTGTGTAACACCACATGTTTTATTTTTTTCCAACCAGACACACAGCGCTATTATTTCGGAACTGTTCCCCTGTAGTTCAACACATCACCACTAGATAGGGTATGTGGGTATTTGAGGGAAACCTATTTATTTATTGTGTTCAGAGACGTTCACATGTGATCGTGTTGGTGTTTACTGTTATCATTGATACTTTCATGATTATTGAGGTAAGTTTATTACTGATTATACTTATTCTTAATGGAAAATGAACTTATGGTTTCGTTATACAATATAAAGTTGTTTTCCCATAATTTATTTAAGTTATACGTTGCTAGGTGATAGGTCAAAACAATTAAAAACAAGCATTTTTGCATTTGTCATAGTTCCGTGCAACATGGGGTCACAGAACTAGGGATGGTTCCGTGCAGCAAAGAGTTAACCGTACATCGGTTTAACCGGACTACACTCGGCGGAAATGACATCTCCCTTTAACCGGACAAATTTTATCAGCACATCTGTTTAACTGAAATAGATCGGCAGGAAGTGGGGGATACTGAAAAGCCTGTTCTCATGGGAAAGATTTGAGACCAGTGATTACGTGTCTAAGTACAATGCTCTCCTAAATTTAAGTCATACTGTATACAGTATGCATTTTAACGTTCCGTTTTAACAAGTTTTTGGGGACGTTGGTTTAACCGTAAAAACCGTTATCCAGACTGGCCTCGGTCCCAAGCAGTCTGGATAAGAGGGAGTCTACTTTTTATTAGGTACAGTAGTTAACTGTTTTCGCATAGGTAATGATAGTGATATAAATCCTTAGTTCGCTTGTAAGCTGCAATGAGGTTCCTCGCCTCTTACTTGCATTATTTGCGAACAGAATGACAAAATTTGCAGCTCTGTAGCTAACTTATATGTAGTGCTGTCTGAGTAAGTAAGCTGACTGAGTGAGACAAAGAATCGGCTTAGAGAGAGAGATAGAGTAGCGCGTCACAGAATTTGCTAGTGTCTAAAATTCTGTTTTCTATCCTTTTTTGATTGCTGACAAGTAGATGGGTCATAACAGTTGTTGCTATAGCTCTAGGGGTCTCAATCCCGGGCCTTCAATCCAATCCCGGGATTTCGGGATTCGTCTCAGCCGATCCCGGGATCAATCCCGGGATTATATAATATAAATTCTTTTAACTTTTTAGCCATTTTAAATGAGCGAGAAGTCTCCTCGTTGAGTACTTTAATGTTTTAAACTGGCCTTACCAGTGTTACACTACGCAATGTTTCCGTTTTCTAAGTAAATAAATCATTAGTAAAAGAGATTTTATTTTATATATAACCACGCTGAACTTATTTACAGTGTATAAATGTTGATATGTCACTCTAGAATATAATAAATTCCTTAAAAAAAATCACGAGCAACCGCACTTGCACGTAGCCTAGATACGTCACGCTAATAGATAGATTAAAGATAGCTAAGAGAAAAAGATAAAATGGGAAGAATAGCAGCGTTAAAATGTTATTTTGACAGCAATAAAACAATATAAGATACTGTAAAACAATAAACCATCTGCTTATGTAGTAGCGTGTGTATGAAAAACGTAATTTTAGATTGTAAGAAATTTAATCACCACACTTATAACCAAATACGAAGATAAAGCTATAGACCCTAAATATAAGCAATCTTAATACTGTTATGAGATTATAATCGTGTGTTAGTTATATTTTATGGCATCAATGAAAATAATACTTAAATTTCCGATTGCAATGTTATGTTTGCTACACGCATTGCGTTGTTTACGTTTGATGTCATCAGTTAAACTAAAAATAACTTGTAGGCCTACTGTAATTAAGTTCTAACTAATGTAATAACATTTACAGAAAGTAAATCCAAATCGTCTAAAAACTTAAACATATATTTAGGTCTACATTCGTTCGCCTATTGATTTTAATTATAATTAAATTTTCCAATCAAAAAGATCATTAGGCCTACTTATACCATTTTGTATAATCGTCCTAAAAATAAAGAGTATATGTGTTTCAAGTGTTATTGGACTATTTTTATTAGTTTTTCCTCAAGTAAAAAGTCCTCAAATTCACAAAAAAATCAATATAAACATAGGATTTGCAATCCCGTTAATCCCGGGATTAAAAGTCACCAATCCCGGGATTTCTAGGTATCAAAAATCGGCCGGAATTCGGGATTGAGACCCCTATATAGCTCACACTAAGTCATTCCATTAGTTTGACTTTGAAAAAATGTTTATGTATTCAACAGAAATCAGTAATTTATCAGCGCAATCTATCGGTGGCTCACATTAAACTACGTTGATTTTGATTAAAACACTGGTGAAATTTTTAACATGGGAATGGGATGTCTATTTGTATCAATATAGTCATAAATGTCAGGCTGTGCAATAACTTGATATCAATGCCAACTTTAAAGTTATAAGTGGTTGACTACTTAACTTCAAAGGATTGTTTAACTCTAGAACCACCAAAATACCTTAAAGTTGCTCAAATAAGTCAAATGATTACTAAAATTGAAATGACAATATATCTAAAATTAGCCTATTCTTCTGCCAGCCAGAGTTATTTAGCCTGTTAAAAATTGTGTAGGGAAATTGAGAATGTTAATACAAATTTTTTGTCTGCAGGTTAAAGTTCATTTACAGTCTAAGTCCAATGCCAGCATTGCAGTTGGACACCAGCACACACATGAGGGTACAATACATGCCCTCCGTTCCATCTACAAGCAAGGTGGGGTCATCGGCATGTGGCGGGGTGCGGGGGGGTCCGTACCTCGTCTAGCCGTGGGGTCCGCTTCCCAGCTCGGAGGGTACTATGTTTGTAAAGAGTTCCTTGAGGAATCACAGGTAGGCTAATTACATTTTTATGAACTAGCTTAGAATTGGATGATAAATTTAATAACTAAAATTATGCTAGTACATACTCTGGAATAAACGAGGTCTTTTTGAATGAAATGAAATTAAAAACGTATATTCATAACAATTTACATTAAATTTGAACTGAAAAAGAGAGGAGTTATAGAAACATTACAGTATAACATTTGTATGTTCAAATTTGCCATGCTTAAGGGATAGGCCAACATGTTATCAGTCTTTAAAGGACACAAATTGAATTTGGGGAGATTTTTTTTACTGTTAATAATTTGAAAAACCTTTACCGCCGATGAGAGAATGTCGGCAACGACAACCAAAGCTAGAGCATTCTAAGACAGAAGACATTCCGACGCGAGGGGGTCGAAGGGTCAAGGATTGTTAGGTCTGATCAAAGTCTCGACATCTTCTTTGGTGATTGTTTGTAGTAACAAGCATCCAACTTTTGAATTAAGAATTTAAGATATTTTCGTGATTGATTGCAATTAACCGTAAATTTTAACGGGTGGGGTGTGTCTGTGTAATGAAAGAGTTATGTAAATAAATGAAGGTTAAAACATGGAAATATATAATAAATTAGTAAGAATATAATTAGCTGAGGAATTGGGAAGCGCTGTGACTGTCTATTTTAAAGGAAAGGGTTTTACCCTGAGGCTGATCGTGCCCATCGCCGTAAACACCCTAAGCCAGCTTTTGATGAGCTGTGATTTACTAATTCATAACATGAAAACCTTATAACTAAACCACTTCCAGTAAGAGCTGCGTTGATATGAATAACTAAATGGCAAGTGCTTGTTGCTGTTTTGCCTCAGACAAACCTTTTGAGTTTAAATTTGTGGCAATGTATTCTCCTAATTGAGTCTTCTGATTTATAGTAGCCCTTATTGACTTGCGCTCTCATTTAAGATTTCCTTCAGACTCCTTGTGGACCTTCTCCAGTATGATAGGAAAAATATAGGCCTATGATTTGAAAGTTAGGTTTTTAGGTGTGATACCGTACATGTACAGTTATACTTGAATTATAGAAATTACATTTATTTGTACATTCAAAATTTTTATTTATATTTAAAGTTTTTAAAGGCATTGTTTGTTAAAAGTGGGGTTTAATATTACAATATTTTTATTTAATATTTGAGTTGGCTTGTATTTGTACAAAATAAAAAATCATAAACCAGGTCTTTGACATAGGGGTGAATTATTTCATGTAAAATAACTCACAAGTAATGTGTAAGATACGTAATCTAAGTTATCTTTCACTCTGTGCAATCTCTATATAAGGCAATATGAAACAAGAAAGTATTTCTGATTTTTCTGAGTTATGTTGCAGTAGGCCTACTGTATTTGTAATAGTTCAAAAAATAAAATTTCTCCCGGACTTTTGACGACTCTGTAATTTGTTAATTTAAAATCAATCCCTTCGTTTCACAGGGGCAGTGTTCCAAATTACTGTTTGACGTAACTTTTTAATATATGAAAATAAAGTACCATGCATTGGTGGAGTCTAGTTTGATAGATGTATTGTCTTTCCGTAGCTACTTTCAAGTGAGAAGAGCTTACTGAATACAACCATGGCTAGTTTTATGGGAGGTCTAGCTGCAGGGATATTTATGACTCCGTTTGATGTAATTTCCACGAGGCTGTACAATCAAGGTAAGTTTCGGGTTTGCTGCTCAACCATTCCAGTTGTGAAGATATATTGCAATGTATTTTGATGAGCTCTGTTGGTCTTGTCAGTTGTTACTTAACTTTAACCAACGAGGCTAGAATAAAATCCTAATCAATTGCTACGAAGAAGGGGACCCAAGGCAGAATTACGGGTGACAGTGCGACATATTCACAGAAAGACTAAGAGGGTTGCAGTAAGCCCAGCCTTCCTTACCGGTATTTTTTTTTTATATAGGCCTATTTTAAAATCATTTGTTTTTTTATATTTTTTTTAAATTTTTACAGGCAAAGTTACATGGCCATTTCTAACACTTATGTATAAGTTTCTACAGAAAATGCTCTATATAAAAAGTTGATAAAATTTTTTGCAGAAAATATTTCTGTAAAAAAATTGACAACTTAATTTTCTGCAGAAAAATTCTCCGTCCTACAATCATTGAAGCAACCAATCGTCATGCATTACAAAAACAAAATCTGGGAAGTCAACATTCGGTGCTATGATTGTGAGGAAGAACGCAATAACAGAATTACCAAAGCAATCCAATGTAATAACGTAGGCGTTTTTAAACCAATACGAGCATTTGAAAACTTATTTATTTCCAAATATTCATTAAAACTATCAGCCTGCAGAAATTTGTTGGATGTTTCCAAGTTTGTTGCGAAAAGTGTAAAAACGTTCTGCTTTGGGGGAAAGGGAAAGGGGTCTCCTAATGGCCAACTTTGATCCAAGTGTCAAGCAAAACTTTCGTAATAAAGTGGCATAATATTGTTAACTAGCAGAGTACCCATTCTTCATACAGGGTTGGCGTACTTTTAAAAGTTCTCTGGACAAAGACAGATACCCAGGATAAACAATTTAAACATCTACCCATCAGTAAGCACTCAGTGTAAAAAGTATTCCGTTTAATCCAACAATGCTTTTAGCGAATTTCCCATATAGGGAATAAGCTATTACCGTAGGTCTCATGGTAAGACCTGGACCCGGGACCGATTTAGTTTTTCGTTTTGAGGTCCCCAGAGGCCAAAAACACCATCCGTTCAAATTCATATATATATATGTGTCCGTTAGCGCGATAACTCGAGCAAAAATGATCCAATTTTGATTAAATTTGGTATAAACGTGAAAACCTACATTTATTCGAACGAGTTTGCGAACCAGCATGATCGGACTATGGGAACAGGGGATTATGGGGGGTTTTATGGGGTAAAAATAGGTTTTTCTAATTTTTCACCCTGAAAACATAAAATTTTGCAATTTCTTTCTAAACCATTTTGTAGAGCTCAACAAAACAAATCATTTATTCTATTGAAGCATTGTTAAGGTAATAATTTAGTGGAATTCCAGATGTGTAGATGGAAATTCGCTTAGTCTGCAGGTTTGCTGCGGCGGGGGTATTTACTTATTTGGTATGACTGACAAAAATAATTGTTGATATGCTATCTAAGGTAAGATAAGGGTGATCTTCAAACAAACAATGATAACAGAACACACAAATAAAAGAGATATAATGGTTCCCTTCCCACAACTTTAGCCTAACCTAACCTTTTCTTCTTAAACTGAACAAGTTAAATATGGTGTAGGGCCTACCCCAGGTGCCAATCCTTGGTCCCCTGTTGGTTTTATGTTATATAAATTATGCTGGTGGTGCACTCTCATGTTTACCTCAGAATAATCTTTGTTTTTATACAGACTATACTAATCTCAAAGTATCTGCTGAGTCAGTGCAACAAGTTGAAATGACATCTCTTTAACCGGACAATTTTTATCAGCACATCGGTTTAACCGGACTAGATCGGCAGGAAGTGGGTGGTACCGTACTGAAACGGTTCTCGTGGGAAAGATTTGAGACCACAGTGATCACGTGTCTAAATACAATGCTCTCCTAAATTTAAGTCAAATATTTAGGATACATAACAAGTTTTTGGGGATGTCGGTTTAACCGGAAAAATCGTAGACTACTGTATATAGTAATCTTAGCTCTATGTTTTTACTAATCCTCCACATTTCTCCCTGTTGCGCTAGTCCAAATACTTTTCTTAGAACTTTATTTTTAAAAACCCTGAGTCGTTTTTCCTGTTACACTGTATCCTTTCCCAAAATCCCCTTAGTTGTGGCCGCATGAACAGTTTTAAGCTGATCTTTTGTTTGACCTTTTACAGGTGTTGATGCCCAAGGAAGAGGCTTGCTCTACAGCAGCTATTTGGACTGTGTTCGTAAGGTTTTGGCCAAGGAAGGTTTCCTAGGACTTTACAAAGGTTTTGTGCCATGTTTTGCTAGGATTGGACCTCACACAGTGCTTTGCCTAGTGTTTTGGGATTTGTTAAAAGATGCTCAAAAAGCTATCATGGAAAAATTCCAAAGCTTAGAAGTAGATTCAGTGTAAAACTTAAGTCAGCTAGAAATCAATTGACTAGAATTAGAAAGTTACCTAATTTTGTTACCAGAGTAGATTGGGATTAAAATGTAATAGAGGCCAGTAAAATGCAATCTATTGCCTATGGTTGCAGCTGGTTTACAAAGGTAAAAGTTACTTTATATTTTTTACCCAATTGCCTGAGTATTGTAGTTAAATATGATACTGGATACTTTGTAAGGGCAAAATCGTATGATCAAATGATTTTCAAATATTTATTCCACTTTTGGAAGATGATAATATTTTACTGTTGACTGTACTTACATGCATCATTTATATAATGCCAAAATGCACCAACAACATAGTGCTATGTTTTTTTGACTGATTTTCATAAGTAGTATATTTAATACTGTTATGTTTTTAATATAAAGGGACTTGCATTAGGTGGGACGATACTTGTAACTTTACTGGTAATTTGTTGGTTGTTAGTTGTTATATTAGATTTAGAATGAAGTTATATTTTATACACTGTTAGCTAAAAATAAATGTTTGTAAGTCAACCAACTGTATCATATAGTTTCAGTTACCCCATAAAGTAGAGGACTGCGGGCCAGAACTTTTTTTATCTTGGATTGGTTTGTATAAAAATTTTGGTCCATCAGTTTTTTGACTGAAATTGAGTTGCCTTGGAAGTATTTATTTAAGAGAAATTATTTCCTCTGATGTCATTCCCCTTCATTCATGATGAAAACTTGAACATCCATGGTCACTGTGAAATCTCGAGTGTCTCCTGCAGTTGCAGTGAAAATTTAACATATCCTGTGCAATTGGGGCAAAATTGTGAGTTTTACGATGATGAAAATGTAAGCTTAATCATTAATCTTACCAAAATCAAGCCACTCGTAGCCCTTTTAATATAAATTACACGACCAGAGCTAAGCCAGAAAATTTTTCCCTCCTGGTCTGAACTGATTTCTTGGCAAAACCAAAAACTTTAAGAACCTGCAGACCTCTCTTAAGTTTTTAACCTGTCTTTGTATAAAGTTATAAATGTTTATCACCATGACATCTACACCATAAGGCTGGTAAAAAAAAATTTTTAATGGAGGTTTCAAGAATACACAGATCCAGTCAGCTATATATTTCACTTAGGCAGGCACTAACTAATACAGCAAGATGAAAGTTGTCATGAGTTGAGCTTTGCACACTAACACACAACAATGACGGGATTTGAGCCCTCAACCACAAAGCTGTCTCCTTTGTCTAAAGAGACACAAAGACAGACAATATCTTAAAACCTCTCAGTTATTGATTTTTACTTGAAGGTCAACCACTTACAATGCAAGCTAACCTTGTTACTGTAAGTCTCTTGGTTGCAGCTCATATCAAACAAACAGTTTTCAGCCATTCATGTTTAAGCTTCAGTATTCAGTTGTATGGTATGTTAATGATTTTTTCAGCAACTGAGTGTCTTCCAAGTGTTATAAACCACGCTGTTGAAGTTTAGGTTCACATAATACACTTCTGTCTTAAATTTTGTTAACACAAGTTTGGATAGTAAAGAAAACGACAACACCAGTTTCTGAGCACTTTATTGCAATACTTCTGGAATTTTACTCAAAATACAAGTGCAAGAAAGAGTAAGAATCCAAACTACAAAAATTTCACCAATCTTCGTAAACGAACATTTGCTAAAACAATAAGCCGTATTAAAATAAATCACTTTTCATATAAAACATATCGCTCAAATACAATACAGTACATATACAATAGAAAAGAGATCAGCTAGGAGTGGGGGAAGGTAGGACTAACTTTACATAAATATCGAGTCGTTAAAAATACACTCATATAATACTTGGCTCCTTAAACCGAAATCCCTTCACTTAAACCCACGCTCTACATATATCCGACACTAACTAAAGATTAATGAGTCCTGGCAATTATACAGCAAACGAGAACTGTGGTCCTTCGTTAAAAACCGGCTCTGATGGATCTTCTTGAGTTATTCAGTTCACTGCAACACAAACAAAATAGAAAAATAAAATATTAAAAATAGTTAAAAGGCTAAGGTTGCTTACTAACTTACTTACATTTAAATGAAACTGAGGAGTTTAAATAGGATGGACCTTAAAGGTTAGGAGTTTTTTGTGGGGATAGCAGGCTTACCTATATCAGAATGGGAAAGAGTCCAAACTGGCACAAGGCACAAGAAACACACAACTTCACACAATAAACAAAACATTAGAATATTTCACAGTCACTGACATCATTTTCCACTAGGAAAGGTATGAGTTGAAGAGATAATCCGTAGTTGAAATTTTGTCTGTGAGAGTGAACAATTATAATGTTTTGCTATATAGTGTAAAATATCATGTTTCTTGGGCCAGTTTAGACTCTTTCCTATTCAGATAAGCCTGCTTAAATCCTTAAACATTGGCAGTTGTGCTCATGTTACAACCTAAATATTCCCTAATAAAATTCCTTATCTACAATCATCTTTATTAATAACAGCTGATAAAAAATAAATGTTTTCATTTAGTTTGAAACTGTTGAAGACCGATGGGAGTATTTCATTTGGTCCAAAATCGTTTGGTCCAACACTTGTAAAACAGTTTGTTTGGTCCAAAATTGTTTTATCATCCAGTTGGGGAGTATTTCATTTGGTCCAAAATCGTTTGGTCCAACAGTTGTAAAACAGTTCGTTTGGTCCAACACTCGAATACGAGTTCGTTTGGTCCAACAGTATGAACTACTGCGTCCCTCACATTGAAGGCGTTCAAATAATCGCCGTCACGTCGTCAACCCAATGTTATGTTTCTAAATAATTGATATGTTTGCATTTATATACACGTACATATACATATATTTATTTATATATAATGTGCTTGTGTCCTGTTTACTTTTTATCCCCAGTCAATCTTAAAACAATGCGTTTTAATTCCCTAGATTTGTGGATAAACATTGACTTAGCTTTGAGTTTGCATTTAATGTTAAACAGAATGGTTTATTTAATTTATCTATATATTAAATTCAATCTATGTTTGTTGTGTGTTTTGTCATGGTATTTGTAACAATCATGTAGTTAATAATACAAATATATAAAGTAGGGATGGACGGGATAGAATTTTTGGTTCGGGACGGGACGGGACGGGATATTTATTTCCTTCCCAATTTTCGGGACGGGACGGGATTTTTTTCTATGCATTAAAAGAAAGTCTTGAGTATTGCAGTTACCAAAAAAGACATACCAAATCAATTTTTACCGTTTGTGGCACTGATCTATAAAAACCAAAAAATGGGTAACAATTTACAGGTACAGTAGAGTCCCGCAAACTCAGCGTAATGTGGACTGGAAGGGTGCCGAGTTTGTGAAATGCCGGGTTATCGGGAACTAGGGTTAAAAATAAGAACAAGACAATTTTTATTCCTTTTAGCTGCCTTATTAATTTATATTTATATTACAAGTCAGTATGAAGTCATTAGATATAGTACAACAAATCCTTGGTACAAGTTGCGAATGATTTAACTTGAGCCCAAGTTTAACTCGGACTCAAAAAATCACTAATTTTCTGAGCCAGGTGATGGCCGAGTTATCCAGACTGCCGGGTTATTGAGTGCCGAGTTTGCGGGACTCTACTGTACCTGTAGAAACTTGTGACTCGTAGTCAAAATGACTCGCGGTCACGGTGCGATCGTCAAAATGACCGTGGTCACGGGGTGATCGTCGGTATGACTCGTGGTCATGGCATGATTGTCGGGATGACTCACGGTCACGGCGTGATTATCGGAATAACTCCACGGTCAAGGCGTTATCGTCGGTATGACTCCGCGGTCACAGGGTGATCGTCGGTATGACTCCGCGGTCACAGGGTGATCGTCGGTATGACTCGCGATCACGGCACGATCGTCGGCATGACTCCTCGGTCATTGCGCGATCGTCGGTATGACTCCGCGGTCACGGCATGATCGTCGGTATGACTCCGCGGTAACAGCGCGATCGTCATTATGACTCGCGGTCACGGTGCGATCGTCGGTATGACTCGCGATCACGGCACGATCGTCGGCATTCGTCGGCATGACTCCGCGGTCAAGGCGCGATCGTCGGTATGACTCGCGGTTGCGGCGTGATCGTCGGTATGACTCGTTGTCACAGCGCGATCGTCGGTAGGACTCCGCGGTCACGGCGCGATCGTTGGTATGACTCGCGGTCACGGCGTGATCGTCAGTATGACTCCGCGGTAACAGCGGGATCGTCATTATGACTCACGGTCACGGTGCGATCGTCGGTATGACTCGCGATCACGGCACGATCGTCGGCATGACTCCGCGGTAACAGCGCGATCGTCGTTATGACTCGCGGTCACGGCGCGATCGTTGTTATGACTCGCGGTCACGGCACGATCGTCATTATGACTCGCGGTCACGGCGCAATCGTCGAAATGACTTCGTCTCCTGCATTCGCGGACCCATCGCTCGCAATAGCGGCGTCATCGGCACTCGCGAAGCGGCAAATCCCGTCCCGAAAAATTCCAGAATAAAATGTAATCCCGTCCCGATAATCGGGAATATTTTTTCCAGAAAAATTCCCGAAATTTCGGGACCCGTCCATCCCTAATATAAAGTGAATTTCTCAGTAAAGATATATCCTATTTGTAAAACTTCCCAAAATGTCATGTTTACTCCCCATGAGAACCAAGAATAAATTATTGAAAAGAAAATAGTTTATATTTGTTGTGGCTTAACTCTATCTAAATATATAATAGAGGTGGTATGTATTTTTATAACAGTGTATTAATAGTGATTAATAAGTGAATAAATAAAACATAGAAAGTCGGCATGTTTAAAGCAAAAATTCCAAAACGATTAATATTATTATTATATACGACGGCGGATATTTGAACGCCTTCAATGTGAGGGACGCAATACTTTATACTGTTGGACCAAACAAACTCGTATTAGAGTGTTGGATAAAACAATTTTGGACCAAACAAACGAGTTTTTAACTGTTGGACCAAACGAACGAGTTTTTAACTGTTGGACCAAACGATTTTGGACCATTTGAAGATGATCCAGACCGATTAGGAATACGGGCCGCAGCAAACCTCAGACTAAGCGAATTTCAACTTGTCTGATTACAAATTTACTCAAATATTTCCATAAATAAGACATATTCTCAATTTAAATAACATTATATTTAACGAGTGCTTAGGTTTGCTGCTACGGGGAAGGTAAACAGTGTTTTTTGACCAAATGTCAATAGTATAGGATGAAATAAATAAATTTGCCAAATTTGATCAACATATATCCATAAACAAGTAAACTACAACAGTTTTCATTTTCTCCATAAGAATAACATGGGAATTTTAAATTTGCAGTTTTATGAATTTTCTCTGTAATCATTAGGCATACAACAATGCTTCAATATACTAAATTATTTCTTTTTTTAAGCTCAATAAAATGGTTGGGAAAGAAATTCCAAAATTTTATGTTTTTAGGATCAAAAATTGGAAAGTTCGAATAAATGTAGGTTTACACCAAATTTCATAAAAATTGGATAACTTTTTTTCGAGTATCGTGCTAATAGACACATATATATATATATATATATATATATATATATATATATGAATTTGAACGGATGGTGTTTTTGGCCTCTGGGGACCTCAAAACGAAAAAGTAAATCGGTCGGCGTCCAGGTTTTACCATGAGACTTACGGTAATAGCTTATTCGCTTATTCCCTATATGGGAAATTCGCTAAAATGAATTTGTAAAGTTTTGTTTGCATTATGTTTATACACAAAAAATAATCTTCTCACTATTAAATTTACTTTAATCTGGGACAGAACAATTTACCAACATTAAACAAGCTCAGATTTGATGGTCATCAGGTTCAAATGTCAACACAATGATAAGTATACCTGTAATATTACAAGTAAATGGCAACACATATTGTAGGCATTTTCTATGACCCACAAGAAGCATGTTTCAATTACAGGTGTGTCCGTAACTTGATTTTTGGGCATTGTATTCTACTAGTTAAGGTCTTTTATTTGATGTGCATATCAACATATGCTTACATTTAAGATTTTCTTCTGATTTCTTAGCGGGCCGTCCCCCAAGGAGGTAGCTCATCACTGAATAATGTGTTAAATGATTCTAAAGCCCAGTAACTGTGTTCAGAGTTTTGAAGCTCTATCTGTATTACTTTTTGGATTATTTAACCGTCTCGGGACTTTTTTCCACCCTGTATACAAAAGGTGAAAGCTCGGCTAAAGCAAAGCTTAATCAAAGATACTAATATGGTAAATTGTTTTGTTAATAAGGTTGATACAAAATGGAACATGTTATAAATTATCTTGCTAGCTACAACAAACATTTAAATTGCTTTTCATCATAGACATCTTTTCATCAATTGTATACCTTTTTTTTATTCTTGTGGCAAAACCTTCTCATGTCACCTAGTTCAGAAGGATTGAAAGTTAGTCCAATTTTAATAGACTTGTTACAGGCAGGAAAAAGTTAAAAAAGGATATTTTATCACTAGGGTGTAAAGTGACTCTATTTGACCAGAGCTCAAGTTTCTCAGAAAATTTAAGGTTTAAAAAACTTTAAAACTTATTAGCCTGTTTGATGAACTTAAAGCAAACTACGTTAAAAACAAAAATACTTTTCATGTAAAGATACCTCTCAAAACGACTTCCAACTGGTTTTTTTTTAGTTTTGCTAATGCAAACAAGATCTTTCATCTTCTCTTCTTCTTTTATTTTATTATTTCAGAATTCTGATAGATCCTTTTACCTGATGATAACATGGCTAAAATCATGTGTTGGCAGTTAGTAGCACTCACCAGGGAATCCTTGTGAAGTTGTGGTTTGTCCAGGAACAGAGTATTGTGGCCTGAAGTTGGCGAAGTTAGCGTTGCCAAAGCTGCCGGGCAGTTGACCTGCGGCGAATCCCGAGGGGAACTGACTGCTAATCATCCCTACAAAAAATTTGTATTATGTTATGTTTGCCCTTAGGGGGTGCATCGGTATTAAGACACCAATGGGTGAATTTGTCTTACGATTGCCTGAAGCAAATACAACTACACACTACACAAAACACAGATATAAAATATTATAGAATCCATTTTTTTTAAAGTTAACTCTTGGGGGTGCATTAGTCTTGAGGCACTGATGGGGCTCATCATCAGGTTTTTGACCAAATAAACATTTTTTGAAAGAAGATTATTAATTAGATAATTCATAAAAATGAAAGAAAATATCTGGTATGATATCTTTAATTTGTTACTTAGGCTATGTAAAAACATAATTTTACATTATAAAAAGAAAAACACAAAGTCAGAAAGGTTAGTATGCTTAAAGCAAGTAATTTACATTCATATTTTATGCCCGTAGAAAGCGCTTTTAGGGAAAAGAGTGGGCTTAAAAGTGTAAGGCGCTTCAGTGAAAATTATCAATAATGGATTCTTTAAATTACTGTGAGGAGCAGTTAGGACCTTGACCTGCTTCCTCCTTCCAGTAATCAGACGCCGTAATCATCTCCTGCGATCAAATCCTTTAGAATATTTCAATCCAGTTTGAAAACCAGAAATTTAATTCCCAAGATAAACCTGATGGGTAAACTAAATATGAGATTGATTTGAAATTCAATTCTTGAATGCAGCTGAAAATCTTGCAATAATGGCTGTTTTTACAAGACATTCTGTTAGGCTTAGCGACCGTCGACTGTACCTGATTGGGACGTGGTGGTAGGAGTGTTGGGCGAGGAGCTGGTGGCTGCCAGTCTGCTCAGTATCGACCTCTCGCTCATCTGTAGCCTCTGAGCCACAGGAGGGATGCGGGCTAGAGTGGCGGGCAGACGACTCACATCTGACTTCATATCAGACAACAACTCCTCCAGTTGGTTCAGCACCTATGAAACATGTCGCAAGTTAATAAGAGTAGCATTTATGTAAAAAAACTAAATTTTTATCAGCGCTTTTTATGCTGTGCCATCCCTGAAAATGTGATCTTGAGTTTATTTCCCATTATTGCAGGGCTATTAATCCTTCACGCTCATGACTACAGCAGAACCTCGATTAACCTTCACCCTATTAAGCGTCACTGTCATCCATCACCCCGCAACGGTAGATTATTTCAAACAAGTACAACATACAAAATAACAGTTAACTGTATTACTCCTATAGGTAAGAAATGTAAATATAAATATGTATTATTCACTTGTACACGGGTTAATTTCTTCCAAAACTTTATAATCAACTTACTGTACAGGTTTATAACAGGATTTCTTATATCTGTCTATTCGCTAACTGTCACGCTCCCGGTCCTGAGTTAATCTTTTTTCAACTGGCCTTTGACCATTTAAATTTATGGATTGAGTGAAAAGAAAACCCTTTACCGTACATAATATTATAAAAATTTATAGAGATTGATTGCTTTATATCGAAAAAAAGGGGAAAGAGACTATACTGACCTTGTGCAGCACAGCGTTGGCAGGTTTGTTGCCTGCCAAACTCTCCTTGCTGAGGTGTTGGTGACTCTCAGCCAGACACTCGACCTCAGCAAACCTCGCGTTGAGTGACATCGCAGGGTGGTTGGGATCTTGTGTCAGGTTGAGGTAGGCTGCTCTACGCAACTGCTCCTCAATGACCAGCGCCTGCTCCAACAACTACACAACACAATAGTGGATGAAAAAAGAGCAAAAATCTGGTTGAAACTCATACAAACGGAAAGAAAATAGTTGACAGACCACAGAATTAAAGAGGAAATAATGTTTAAGAACTAAGAAGCCAAAAATTAGTAAGGGATGAGCTTAACCTAGAAAGAAAATTATGGAAGAGGCTTATCAGCGTACCTAAGAGACTGAAGCTTAAAATGATAATGGTGATATAATAGACTTAAAAATATCTCACCTTAAACCTCCTGGCTAGGAACTTGTTTTTTATTTCCAGGAAGTTTCCTTTGCCGACATCCATCTTGAATGGCTCATTTATGATGGCAAAGCGAATGTCGTTCTGGATGTCTTGCCATCTGCCGTAGCCGTGAGTGACAATACCAGCTAGCAGCCAGTAGTCGTGTCTGAGGTGAAGTACATAAAATAAAATAAATATTTAATTAAGAGAAAACACTAAAGTCCATGATTCTGCATCCAGTACTTGAATACTCTAGTCTTCTAGGCAATGCCAGCACTGTAACTTGTAGTGTTACTCAGAGAACTATAGTGATTTGAGTTTGCACATACACAGTGGCATTTGGGACTATTGACACAGGGTGACAACTTGGAAACTTATTACGACTCAATTCTGCACGTACTTGGATTCAGATATACAGCACAATTTACTTGTTGTGGTAATTCTGAAAACCATGCGAGTATAATAAAGCACATAGATCGGACTTGGAACTGCAACGTAATGAATTACTTAGCGAGAAATTCATAACTACTGACTGAGTTTAGTACTTAAGTGCTACAGGATATGCATAAAATCGACTCCATACCTGTTTGATTATAACCAACAAGTACTCGACTCACATTTATGTGACAGTATCTCGTTGGAGACCATAATATACAGAAAACTCGTAATAAGACGGAGACAAACCTCCTGTGCCAGATCTCGTACTCCCGGCCGGGCACTGCTGCCTTCTCCTCATTGATCCATAATGTATGTAGCTCGGTGAACCCTCCATCAGCGATGTTGAACATGAACTTGCGCTTGCTCTTGTCCTTTTCTTCATCTTCGGGCAGACCTACCGGCTTCTTCTTCTCTACTACTTCCTCTTCACCCTCGGCCTTCTGTAAAAAATAACCAGTAGAGTGATGGATTGGAGATTTAAGAAACAATTCCAAAATTATGTAAAAATAATTTACTAATATTTGAGACCTTGGGTTTAGTCTATCACTACTGGAAAAGAATCTTTCGTACCATCAATTGTTATTGCCTCTTTGCCAAATAACCTTTAAAAATAATAGACACCAGTATATAGAAGAAGAGTTTGTGTTATCTAAGCTGGTTTGAGTAGGTTGACTTTCAAAAATGGTCCTGGCCAAGTAACAGCTGGTCTTAGTCAGTAACAAAGCTGCACAGATCAGCTCACTTCAATCTATTTTTACACTTATTCAGATTAAAATATGCACTAAAAATATGTAACTGACTTAATTGAATTAGGGAGGACTTACATAATGAAGAATAATCAGATTTATGATTGTGACTTATTTGCGAATCTCCCTCTTGAAAGGTAATATTTCTAGCAAGCTCAGATTTCTAAGGTTAACTGGCTGAAGTCTATCCCTTTCTCAAACAACTCTCTACCAGCCTCACTAACACACGGGATTTCCCCAAAAATACATGACTACATAATTTTAGAAGCCAGCGTATAATCACCACTCCTCCACAATATGAACTGAATCAATTCCCTTCTGCTCGAGGCAAGTGATTAAAATATGCAATTTTTAAGGCACAAGGACATTCATTAGAGTGTGAATATTATCCCAAACTCATATTATATACAAAGCTACTTTCATTTTATTCACCTCTTTCTTAACCTCTTCTCCCTCCTTTTCCTTAGTTTCTTTTTCCTCCTTCACTTCACTTGCTCCATCCTCTTTCTTCTCAGTCTCTTTTTTAGCAGATTCATCAACTTCCATGTTTTCATCTGTTTTCACAACCTCTTTTTCGCCTTCCTTCTTTTCTTCTTCTTTCTTCTCCTCTTTCGGCTCTTCTGTTTCTGGCTTTTGTGCTTCAGGTTTATCTACAGGGGCTTCGGGTTCAGTCTTCGCCTTTGCAAAACAAAGTTAGTTAATACTTTGTTGACAATCGACAAGTGTTAAGGAATTAAACAATGTAGCCTATTTTTGAGTGATCTAAAGGTTTAATATTTAGTTTTTTTTAAATGTACAAATGAAAAATCTACTAGCTGTTGTACCCGTGCTTTGCAACGGGAAGAGAACACGAAATAGAAACATTTTGATCTTTACATCTGTTGATAAAATAGTTACACATAAGCCTTTTAAAACAAAATTTAACCTTTATGGCCTTTATAGGATATAGTAGATGCTGTCATACATGTAAAAAAATAATAGTACTGCACCCTGTTGGTAAACCTTGTAACTTTTTTATGCTATTCAATATCATAGAACCAACTTGGATAGTTGAAACAGCTGATAAAATTATTTTATTCCTTTTAAATATGATTACTCATAAGGTTACTCATGGGAAACTCCAGAGCCACTGGGGCGGAGCCCGAAAGGACTTTTGAGATAAGAATGCGTCTATATGTTAATCGGGAATGTGAGCTATCATCATACCAAATTTCAGCCAAATCCGACCAGTATTTTTCGCGTTTACTTGTCACAAACATACATCCATACATCCAAACTTTCTCATTTATAATATTAGTAGGATTGCTCATGATTGACTAAATTCTAAAAATTCAAATGTTGCAAAAGTTTACTGAAACATAACGTTAACAAATAAAAGTGTAACTTGGCACAAACCTCATCCTTCTTCACTTCTGTGGTAGGTTCTGTTGTTTCTTCTGACTTGGCAGGTTTGCTTTCTCCTTCCTCTTTGGGTTGTTCTTTTTCTGCTCCCTCTTTCGGTTCCTCTGTCTTAATTGCAGTTTCTTCACCCTGTAAATGGACATAAAAATTGCTTAGCCAACTTAAACAAGTTTGGTAATTTTAAATTTAATTTAGAAATGGAATTTTTGACAGACATTTTAGTTTCTGTTTAGTTGTATTTGAAAATTATGATTGGTAGTCATTATGATTGATTTGTTTACATACAATCAAATCTAGAGAATCTATATTATCCAACTACTTAGATAATACTTAGGGGGGGGGGGGGTCTATACTTATTTAAGACGCAAGCAGGTTTTTTGTGACAATTACTCTTCCAAAACTACTGAATCGATTGACATGTTTTTGGTGTCATTGGAAAGAGCGTAACGTGAAGTTGTGCAGGAAACTTACTTTATAGGGGAAATAATTAGAGAGCGAGGCCCTGGGGCCCTCTTTAAGGTTTTGTATTTCTCCCTAAGATTAACATGGGAAATAAACATTGTTATGAAACTCCAGCTGTTGGCAGAAATTAAAAGTGAGAAGAAGAACATATGTTAATTGTAAACAGTCAATAAGTTTGCTAATTTAACAGTTTGCTACAAACATTTACTGACTTGGTTGAAATGAAATATTTAAACTATAGTTAGCAATTGCTCGAATTCGAGCAACAGGTACACTATTAAGTAAATAAAACAACAACACGGTTTTTCTAATCCTTCAAATTCAAAGTCATAGTGGAAAAGTGCCTTACTATTAGTAGTATTAGTAGTAACAAATTATTTTTATTGTTTTTTGGCCTGTTATTTTAGTTACGTGTTGCAATTTAAAATTTAACCAACAATACAACTAACTCTTTGTTTTTTCCAACCTTTATTTCCTTTCTATCTTCCTTCAAAGATTTAAAGGCATAAAGCAAATTAGGGATGGTCAAGTCTCGAAATTTCGGGAAATTTTCGGGAAATTTTAAATCTTGTTACACGAGACGAGATTTCTTTTTGGCTGAGATTTTTATCGAGACGAGAATAAAAAAAAAATAAAAAAAAAATATTAAAAACGCCTGCAGAAAGTCAATGCAATACCCGCAATACAGGAGCGTGTTGTAGTTGCGTTTCCTTTGCGAAGGCGTTCTTATTTAATTAATTCTTCAAATGTAAATATTACTTTAATTATTTTAATAACATTTGAGAAGTTTTGCTAAGTGTTAGCAGTGTGAGGAATGTTTTATTACTATAAAAAGTCAAAACAAGTAACTATTTTATAAAAATTAATATTTTATTTTATGATTTATTTTATTTTAGGATAAGTTGAACTCTATCCTAACTGATATCACTATGTTTCCTAATCGTAGGCATTTTTAATAAGTTAGGCGTGATTAATAAAAAAATGTTATGCTGATGTTTTTTAATAAAAGATTGTAAATATTCTTGCCTATTATCATTATTTTTGTATTTAAACAGTCATCTAACAATGTTACAAAATCAGGTAAAAATTCCGAACGTGCATTTCCCGTTGTGTATGAGAAGGAAACTCCCGTCTCGATCTCGTCTCGAAATTTTTTGAGAAATAAAAAATCTCGTCTCGTCTCGTCTCGAACTAAAAATCCAATCTCGTCCATCCCTAAAGCAAATAAAGACTTGCTCATTATTATTATTTCATTAGCCCTTTCTCTTATACACAAACATAGAGTTTTACCATATGATCCTTAACATTACATCTACTAACCTCCTTTTCCTTGTCCTTGCCGTCCGCCCCGCTGGCTGGTGCAGGAGAGGGGGCAGCAGATGTAGCAGGAGTGGCGCTAGTGCTAGTAGTGGGGGTAGCACTGCCTCCCTCCCCGGCTGCCTTCACGGGCTCCACTGGCTTGCGGACTACCTCAGGCATGCTGTAGTAGCCATTGATGTGCTCAAACTCTTGCACCTACGCAACAGACATTAACATGACACTTAGGCTTAGCTCAGAGAACATAGATAGCACTTTTACAGTATAAAATTACCAATCAATATAACGTTTATAAGTAACCCAAACATTTGAGAAAACCGTAAGCCTCAGACCGAAGAACTGCATACTTTAAACTAGGGGTGTGCGAGTACTCGAACCTTCGAGCTTTTTGGTCGAGCTTTTCATTATTCGGCTCGGCTCGAGGCATTTTGAAAAAGCTCGAAGTTCGAGCCGAGCTTTTAATACTAAGTCAAAACTAAAAAAAAACACTTAATTTGGGTCGTAATTGGAAACAATGTTATCACAATTCTACGTTGTTCAAGCATTCAAGGTTTGATAAGCACGAACCTCAGCTCAGTCAAGACGCAATGATTATCGATCGTAATTTTGAGGAGATAGTAAAGAGACAAACTACCACCTATCGCGATGTCTTTCTAACACAGCTATTCGTATCGTAATATACAACGCAGTGCGAGTGCGTGATTGGCTCGTCGCTATGACGACACACGGTTGCCGTGACAACCTACAGTGCGCACTGAGCACTGCGCCTTGTGTGGGAGGGGAGATTATACCAACAAACAATTTCAGGAATTCTATTTTGGGACGGATGAAAGATAAGGAAGAAACAAAAAGTGGTCACGTGTGCAAATGTAGTGGGCGACACAATAAGGCTGTAAACAAGTATCAATCGTCGTGTCGTGTCGTTGTTCCTTGTTTGTTTACTTTTTCAGATTCCTTATCAAACGCCCCTATCTGCTATCTCTCTCTGCTCTCTCTAACAATGTACTGATTGAACAGATTGTGGTTGACGACTTTTCTACTTATAAGTTTCCCTGCGGTTATTTTAGTTCAATCAATCCCATAACCTCTCTAATGTTTATCAAAATAATTAATTATCTGTTTTGTATTTTATTTCCTTTAAACCAACCCCTATTTACCATCTGTATTTTATAGAATAAAATGTTTGTTTATAAAGTTTGACTGGCCACACAATTTTGTACCTATTTTATTTTGTATAAAGTAACAGTTACTTTGATGATTATTTAAATATCAATAAGTGGTGCGTGCTGTAATGAATGCTTTTTATTATCAAAATAAGTAATGGATTATTAATTTTTGATAATACATGGGTCATTGAATACCATAATGTGATGTAGTTTCCTATTTATAACTTGCAAATAATAATAATTGATAGTTAATCCTGGAAAATGAAAAATAGTGAATGCATTCATAACCCTGTTGTCAAAACAGCAACGCGGGTGTAAGGGTTTATTGTTTCAGAGGCTAGGGTGTTTCAAGGACAAAGTGCTGGGCCTCCCGGCTCAGGGGGGGAGGGGTGGTGGTGAGACTGAGAGAGAAATGGGGGAGGAAACTGGTTTTGGCTATTTATTGATTAGTTCACCGACCCTTCTAGATAACAGAATTTAGTGACAGTGTTAAATCATCGTGTTCATTATTTCATTTCTTGTTTACTTTGTGTGTTATTCTATTAATTTTAGTGTTTTGGTCTATTTCCTCTATATGTCAATTATATATTTTTTAATATATAATTTTACTTTTTACTTTGTCTCTTCACCTTTTTGGATCCAAATCAATCATGTTCTTTTTTTTATTAATACGATTCATAAAACAAAAATATTTTGTGCATGGAAAACAACAAGAATAATCACGTGTTTTTATATTTATTTATTTATACAAAATGGAATAAAGTATTCATAGTAGTTACAACATACATATTTAATCGACTTGCTAGTTGTTTTGTTGTCATTCAAGTTAGCGCTGTTCTGTTATGAAAGACAATCTGATTGGCTCAGTCTGCACTGCATATCTCATCAGGCCTTCAATCATATCCTTTTATTTCTTGCATCTTAATTTAGTTCAGTTCAGTTCTTATCGTGATTATCTACTATTTGATGTCTTGACAATTCTCAATGTTTTTAGACATATTAAAATAATATTGTGTTTATTTAAAAATTGACTGAACATTATTATTATTATGCACTTTTTGAAGAAAAATGTTTAATAATTTATTTTTTTGATAATGTTCAGAATTCAGAATTATGTTTGAAATTCCAGATAGGGTTAGTTGCAAAACATTTTTTGCTGAAAATAAAATCATGACACTCTCTAATATTTTAATTTTTTACAATTTAGTTTCCGTTAAAGATAATCTGAATAAATTTGTTCCTTGCAACTCAATCCATGGGTATATCACCAGACAATCAAAAGATTTATATATTCCTCAAGCCAGGCTATCAAAATTTATCAAAAGTTATAAATATTTGCAAATAAAACTATTTAATAAACTTCCAATACATTTTAGAAATCAGGAAAGTATTAATTTGTATAGGTCAAAATTAGGGGTGTGCGAAGCAGCAAAAAATTTTTGATTCGAAGCAACGATTCGATTCAAGAGATTTTCGATTCGATTCGATGCAACTCGATTCGAAGCAATACGGTATTTTTCTATTCATAATTGTCAATTGAGTGGATTAACAATAATTAAAATGTATCACATTTGTGTAATACAAATTTTTGTTGATGTGGTATTAGGCCTATTTCATACTTAACATATGAATTTTAGGTGAAAAAATATTTATTTTCAATCATATGTATTAGAATAACTGCTGGAAATACCAGTGAGCTGCTTTACTTGCCTATTTCATAATTTTTACTTGAATTGGCTCAACTGCAAGAAAGAAGAAAATATTTTTTTTATCAAGACATTCATTCTCATTTTAATAACTGTTTAAATAACTAAATAGGTGCCGGTAGCTAAATTACAACAAATTTGAATGGAACTTAATATAAAAAGACCATTAAGAAATAAATTTACATATCACAAGTTTAGGGCCTGTGGACCGGCTTCAGGACTGCAAGCAAGAAGAAAATAAAAATAATATGTTTCCACCATGCAATATGTATCATTCATTCCCTGCCTCCTAACCTCCTTAGTATAATAACCTCACACTTACATTATTTGTTACATAATCATAAATAAAGAATTATTATTGGCATCAGTAGGCCTACAGCTTTACCTAGGCATTATTTTTATAGGGCCTAAAATAGTAATAGGCTAGAAGCAACATGTCAAGTGGAGAACTCATTGAAGAAAAGATATTGTGTAAACTAATTTCCTATAAAACTCAAAAACAGTAAATAACATACAAACATTGTTTATGGTATAATTAATAAGGACTAAAAAATGCATATCATGTCATACAGTAGTATAGACCTACTGCAAGAGATTAAAATCCTAAAACAACTGATTTTGATAGCTAATGAATGAAAAGAATTAAAAATCCATAAAATAAAGCCAAACAATATCACAACTAATTAGGTACCCGAAAAGTAACTCTTAAATAATATATAGAAGATTAAAATAATATTAAATCAAGAGACAAGAAAGTTAAATGCTATCTTCTAGCCTAGTGCCCTTGGCAACACAGGTCAATGTTTTTAAACTACCCTCAATGTTTTTGGAACAGCAGGGCCTTTTTCTCTTAAGGAAGGGTAGTAGTATGTCAACAAAAACAATGAATCAGTCTCACCAGCCAGGCCCGGGCAACGATGTGTGAATTCAAGGTCATAGACCCTCCCCCTTCCCCTCTTACACCACCCGGTTGCTACCCAGTTGCTTCAATTGCTGACAAAATGCAAGTGATGAAACAAGGAAGTAGAGACAAAGAAATATATTTCTTTATTCAAAAACACAAAACTGTTAGAGATTTTCAAAGAAATTAATTCAATGTAATTTGTGAGTTGTAAATATTGTATTGGATCTTAGAAATATATTTTTTTAACCCCATCTAACCAAGATACAGATCTGTTCACTATATCAGATATTTCTTTTGTTTATAATTTATTATGTAAAATAATAAAATATATTTTTAATTAGGTATTGAATAAACAATAAATGATTATACTAGTATGTCTGGATAAATAGTCTTTCTATTCTTTTGACTTTGTTTTCTTTGCACTGTTAGTGTTGCGTCACGGCTTTTGTCTTGTTACTCTTATCAGTAGACGACTAGACCTGGCTCTGGCTAGTGGCAGTGCGGCAATTGCTCTGTTGTGTCTTTATTCTTAAAGGTCGTGAGCCAACTTAATTTTTAATTCTCATTTGAACATTTTAATTCCTCTGTAATAATAGATATAATAATATAAGAGTGTTTCTTTGGAAATAAATTATTCTTTTTTTTTTCTTTTGCCCCAACAAAAATTCGGGGACGGGGACCGGCAGACACCTAACAAAAATACCAAATGAATCAGTCTATAACATTAATCTTACTAGTTAAGTATTAAGTAACAATTTTTCAGACTTATTTTTAAAATGATTTTGGAGTAACCTACCTTGTTTTGGCTAGGTTCACAGTAGTAAAATATTTCACACACTGCTTACATCAAGACAAAAAACAAACCTCTAATCATTTGCAATGTCAAAACAAAAAAATATAAAACAATTAAAGCTATATTTAATGCAAAGAATGTATTAAATAAGAACGCCTTCGTAAAGGAAACGCAACAGCAACGCGCTCCTGTATTGCGGGTATTGCATTGACTTTCTGCAGGCGTTTTTCGTATATGGATACTGACTCCCTCGTGAATCGAATCGTTTTTTGACCACCACTGAATCGAATCGCGATTCGATGCATCGAATCGAATCGAATCGAAATTTCGATGCATTTTCGATGCATCGCACACCCCTAGTCAAAATTATCAGATTGGCTTACAAGTCGTGCTTTTTATTCAGTTGATGAGTTTTTGCAGAATGAAGATTTTTTAACGCTTAAATGTGAGGCCAAGCAGTCTTGATGATTCTTTGTTCTTGTTATGGTCTTTTCCCTGTTAATTTTAAAGTTTTTATTATTACTGATGCTTTATCCTTTTAAGATTCTTTTAACTATATTTTAACATTTTCTGTAGAATATTTAATATTTTATTTAACATATGTAACAAAACATGTTGACCTTGTCTATTGTAATGTTTATATTACCAAACGACAATAAAGATTTATTATTATTATTATTATTATAAGGTGACGCTAGGAAAAGCTCGGCTCGAAAAAGCTCGAGCTCGAAAATATTTTAAAAAGCTCGGCTCGGCTCGGCTCAAGGTTGAAAATCACTATTCGCACACCCCTACTTTAAACACTCTAGAAACTAACCTGAAGGAATGTGAAAACGGTTCCGGGCTAGACTCTGGCATCCTACAATGTGAAGGTTGGACAAAAATATGAATATACATCAATAGACATAAAAGGGACGGGAAAACCTTAAGACTTTTCTGGAGAACTTTGTCACTAGAAGACCTTCAGTGTTTCAGTTAATTTGAGAAAATAATCCTACCATCGTAGACTTGTATTATTGTTTGTAACCTCTATTTACTGACCTATAAGCCTTTTGTAATCCAACACAATCTTAACAATCAAAACAAAAGGAAACGAAAAGATCCTCACCTTTTTCCTGATGAGGGACATGACGCCAATGCGTGTCAGGACATGTTGGCGACTGAGGCCTTCACGAGGCACTCCGTCAGCGAAGGTGTCTGCATTGTCTGCCCCTGGCTCACACAGGTGACGCATAAACAGCGACACGTACGCCTTGAAGTTCTTCTCACTCTTCCCACGGAGATCCCTGACCAGCCTGGAACACCTAGCAGTCACCCCACACTCACGCCACACACAGACACACGGCCCTATACTTTACGTCTAGCTTATTTTGCCTATTTTTATACTGATTATTATTTATTTCCCTCAGAAGACAAAAATAAGTTAAATTTAGTAATGTTACAAATATTAAAATTGCTAATAATAAAATTTATCAAACAGGAAACAATTTTGCCAAATCTTTAAGGTAGGTAGCCTCTGAATTATTAAGATATAGAATAAGTGGTTTCAATACCTGCATTATTGGTAAGCCAGGTATATTATTAAGTACCAGGTTTATTATTAATAATATATTATTTTTCATCCTTGTGAATTGTTAGTTAAGTGTTATGAGTTTGCAGAGTAAGAAAATTACAATCTTTATGAGAAACAATGTTTCTGTCCTTGCGATTGAAGACTATTAGTTGATTAGTGAACTGAATCTAGGTGTCATTGCAACCATATATGATTACTAATAATTAGGGATGGACGAGATTGGATTTTTAGTTCGAGACGAGACGAGATTTTTTATTTCTCATAAAATTTCGAGATGAGATCGAGACGGGATTTCCCTTCTCATACACAACGGGAAGTGCACGTTCAAAATTTTTACCTGATTTTGTAACATTGTTAGATGACTGTTTAAATACAAAAATAATGATAATAGGCAAGAATATTTACAATCTTTTATTAAAAAACATCAGCATAAAATTTTTTTATTAATCACGCCTAACTTATTAAAAATGCCTACGATTAGGAAACATAGTGATATCAGTTAGGATAGAGTTCAACTTATCCTAAAATAAAATAAATCATAAAATAAAAGCAATATTAATTTTTATAAAATAGTTACTTGTTTTGACTTTTTATAGTAATAAAACATTCCTCGCACTGCTTACACTTAACAAAACTTCTCAAATGTTATTAAAGTAATATTATTAAAATAATTAAAGTAATATTTACATTTAAAGAATTAATTAAATAAGAACGCCTTCGCAAAGGAAACGCAACTACAACACGCTCCTGTATTGCGGGTATTGCATTGACTTTCTGCAGGCGTTTTTAATTTTTTTTTTTTTTTATTCTTGTCTCGATAAAAATCTCGGCCAAAAAGAAATCTCGTCTCGTATAACGAGATTTAAAATTTCCCGAAAATTTCCCGAAATTTCGAGACTTGACCATCCCTACTAATAATACAGGTATTTAACAATTTACCTATCATTCGCCAAACTCCTATTTGTGAGGGGCCTTGTAAGACCTGGTAGTAACTTCTTATCGCTCAATTTTCAATTGACTACTAAAATATGTTCTGGAGTATTGTCTGCTTGAGAATTAAAGATTGGAAAAAATTTTCCCTAAAATTTTTGTTGTTGTTAACCTTGTTATTTTAATAATGAATATTAAGTCTAAGTATTACAACAATAGACTTACCATTGAGAGTTGAATGCGTCCTGGGGAGGCATGCCGTAGCGCATGATTGCATTGAGGAATGCCTTACGCTGTCTGGCGTTGAATCCAAGTACCTGAATTAAATATATGAATTAACATTCTCGTATTGTATACTTGGTACATAACCCTAAACAAACTCACACAAAATTTCTGTTTTCCACTTATCTCTCCCCTTGGCCAAAAAAATACAATCCAAATTTTTGCCCCAAAAAAGTAGCCAATTTCTTCCACCACGTCAAATTATCCTCTAGTAAATCTTCTCTTGTTTTTGATAAGTTGTTACTTGGACGTTTAAATTTTTTTTAGTGTTTTTTTCACAACTATATTTCATAATTACAATCCTGTAAACACTAATCTTAGACTTGGTCTTTCCAGCGGGCAACAAACGCACTACCCAATAGTGCTAAGAAAACACTCTCTATTGAACTATAAATATTGAATGCAAGCTAAACCATCATATAGTTTATAATTTGTTTAATACAAATTTCCTACCTCAATATTACCACCAACTCGAGCCAACAGAGGCGGCAGAGGTCTGTCTTTCTCTTCTCTCCTCTCAGGTCGTCTCTTCTTCCTTCCACCTTCAATTCCTGGGAAAATTTGGAGGAGATATGTAAAAACATGAAGTATTACCAACAAAACAATTGTTTTTACATTGCAGCAAAAATGGCAGTTTTGAATTCATGGAAATCATCTTTACACTTTATTAAATGTGTAAGTAAAATAGTTCATTATTGTTTTGCTCATAGTATATACATGTTCAACACATTTTTATAGTGATTATCAGCATACTGTACACTAGTGTCTAAAGGAGCCAGTTTAGGCTAGTGATGTTTGAATAATCACCTTTCTTTACTAAGTTCATACAAACCCTTCACAGAGAGATGATGATACACATTTATGTATATGAATCTAGTGAATTCCAATATAAAAAGTTAATTAAACAGATGATTTACCATCCTCAACATCCGTAAAAACAAATGTATTAATATACTTACCATCGGCTTTTTCATCAAAGTCATCATCTTCTTTGTCGTCATCTGCAACAAAATGTATAGTTAAGGTAAAATCAATTTAAATACCTAACACCATTCAACAATATTAATAAAACTAGTTGCTCTGCCCGTGCTTTGCTACGGGGTGAGAATAAAGAAAAGAATAATTCTGTTTTTAACCTAATATAAGAAACAGTAACAACACACTTGCAATGAAACATATAGACAAAGCTCAATCGTACTTATTAATTATTTAAATGCATATTTCTTAATGTTTTACCACTTTATATAGTGCATTGCAATATATGCAAAAGTGTAATTCATTGAGCACATGACACGAAGAAACAAATCTTCATAATAAACAGATTTAATTAAATAGCAGAACGAAGCATAACATCTGGGTTTGTAAATTTTCTTCATATGAAATACATTGGGGTTCGATGGCCTGTGGGGCAAAGCCCAAGGACTTTTATTACAGGAATTGGTGAAAGGGGGCGTCTACACAAAAAATGCTTAATTTTGACACATCGTTTGTAAAAATCCGTCCATTATTAAGGGAGGAGTAGTGTTTTGTAGAATCGCTTTCACGTATTATATACTAAGGGTAATTTGGTAGGCATTTTAAAAATCCTTATCTATCAAAAAAATGGAAATTAAAAAAAGACTTTCCTTTTATGCCACTAAAAATTGGCATTAACTTAAAGTGAATTTATAAATTTTATGTTAAGCTCCATATTTAGTATTACTTCAATGTAATGTAGCTGTCAATTATACATTTCTCAGCGGATTAATCTACCGATAACATTATTGTGATTAAGAAAAACACACTGTATTTGTAAAAACTTCTGTATGCAATGCATACTGTAGGATGAGGAGTTTACATGAAGTATCCAAAGTCATTATCATAGCTTTTGAGAGACTAACGGGGTGTTAGTCTCTCAATAAAGAGAAGTCGGGGCAGCAGTGGAAGAGGCAGAAGATAGAGAGAGATGGAGAGCTGTTGTTGGTGCAGCCAAATTCTACATTGGGTAAAAAATGGCCATTCTGTAATTAAAGTTTAAATACTTGCATTATCAAACCAATTTACTCACCAGATGGTGCAGAGAAGTCAGAGTTGTTGTAGTCGGAGAGGTTCTCCTGCCAAGACGCGTCCACGTTCTCTCTCTCGACCACGCCCCCGTCCGTGTAGTTGACCTGTTTGCGGACTCGCTTGCCTTTACCCAGCGTACGGCTGATGTCCTCCTGCTGCTGCTCGTAGTGGTGTCTCAGTAGCTTCACCCAGTACGCAGGGTCTGTGTTCTCTGCTTCTTGCTTGATCACTTCTGTGCCCACCTCCTCCTCCTTAAACAATAGTAGGAATCCGTTGTGACAACGCTTTGTAAGTCAGAGTACAATCTTGGAGCATTTCACAGTGACAAACAGATTAGACTATGGCGATAGTCTAATCCAAAATTTCAATTTTGGAATCATCGTACAAAAATCCAATCCTAAATTTTTAATTAGACAAGTTTACTACAGTATTGTTGACTTTTAACAAATTTCAATTCACCTTATAAACTGTTTATGCCAGGATCTTATCTCTTGCTATCTCAATAAAATTACAAGATTTTTGTATCAAAATTCCCTAAATTATTAAAAAACGACTAGCAACATAGCAACAAATATTTACCAAAAGATTCCTGAATTTTCATGGCTTAGCAAATTACTTGGTCTTGAAAAAGGGTAGGTAAATAATGTAGGCCTATTATAGGAGTCAGTCGGTAGAATGACGGATACAGGACTGTAAAGTGGCCGTTACTTACGAATTAGCTGAGCAGTTCATACCTATTACTATTCAGCTCACCCCTTGTTTTGCTTGGTAGAGTCCAGGCACAAGATTCATAAGGCCCAAAAGGGCAAATTGAAGATTAAAGGAGGATGACAAACGCTTAAACATAATTAGCTTCAAGAAATCACCTGATCCCTGAGATTTATTTGGACCCAATTAGTTTAAATAATATTTTCACCTCATCTTCTTCCTTGGTGACGTAGCTGGCCACTTTGAAGGAGGACAGATACTCATTGGACCAGTTCTCCTTCTGTTCAATGCCCATCTTGGATCTGTCAAGCAGCTCTTCTACTGCCTTGTCATCGTAGTGGATAGCCTCATCTTCCTTACCCTGAAACAAAAAATAACTTTGTCACACAACTCTTCCAAATAATAAGGCTAAAAACAGGCAATCAGGAAAATGGAAATTTGCTTCTTTGCAGGTTTGTTGAGGCAGTGGTGTTTACTAAAATGTTTCCTTAAACATGTTAGATGTATTCCCAATTTAAATAACATTAGGTTTTACAATTAGGTACTTATGTTTGCTGTTACAGTGAAGTTAATGAAGTGTTCTTTAATCACATTTTAATATCTTCGTATAAAATAAATAAATAAGGCCTACAACAATTGAATGATCCTCCATAAGGATAACATGGGACATGATATACTGTGAATTCAGCACTTCATCTCAGTTACCGAATGCTGTAAATAATCATTTATCATGTAATTTGAGCTCTACATGATAATTGTAATTAAAATGAGGCCTTTAATCTTTTAAGGATACAAATTAGAAAAACTAATTTTAGAAAAATTAAAAACATTTAACACAACTTCCTCACTTCCATTATCCAATTTAATAGGCAAGCAACACAACCTTTTAGTAGGTGGACTAATTAAAATTGTTTATGAAATTTGATTGCTTAAGACCAAAACTTAAATAAAACTCCAACCTCCTCCTCTTTGAACAGCTCCTCTGTTCCGAACCGCAAGATGTCGTCCAGCTCCTGTTTGGTAAAGTTTGCCTGTTTGCCGCCCATGCCCGGCCGCACCACCAGATGTGTCAACATCATCTTGCGCTTGGCGACCTGCGTCACTCGCTCCTCCACTGAGTTACGAGTTACGAAGCGGTAGATCATAACCTGTCACACAACATGAAATTAAAATACTTCTCAGTTGAGGCAACCTTAGGGTGTTAAACCAATTTTTCCCCAGTCATCTACGACATCATTTTTGCCCGAGGGATGTCGCACATAAAACCAAGCAATGTAATGAAATCAGAGCTTATACACTGCTTGCAACCCATGTCCGAGATATCATCTGTATATCGGTCATTTGTCGCAAGAGACCGATTGATCAGTGATTGGTGTGACATGTCATACAGGTCTGACGCATGCGCACTGACACTCATCCCCATGCAATGAGGTTATTCAGTAGCCCACAAAGGATGTTTTGAGTAGTTAATTGATCATAGTGTCAATCCTGAAATAAATATTCTTATATCATGTAAGGTTGTTGCTTAAGTTGTTGGGTCTTAAACTGGCTTGTTAACAAAGAATGGGTCAAACATTCTAACATGCAAAATACGTGCATGTCTCTTTAAATTTCATGACATACAACACAAGTCTTACGACATGATGTCTGCGACGACATCAAAGTTTTTTTTTCATGTGTCTTCTAAATGCTTCATGACCTACCTGTACTTCTTTTAACTTTCTTAACTTTCTTTTATGCTACTGCTATTTTTAGCTGTTTTTATTATTCAAATTTAACAAAGATTGCCTAATTTTGTAACACGGCAAACCACTGATTTTACATTTAAAACATGTTTGATCCAACATGTGAACCACGTCAGGCAAGATTAAAGACGATCACTCACCTTATTGGCTTGACCTATTCTGTGGGCACGAGAGAACGCCTGAATGTCGTTGTGAGGGTTCCAGTCCGAGTCGTAAATGATGACAGTGTCCGCTGTGGCCAAGTTGATACCAAGACCTCCAGCCCTACACAACAATATTTAATCATTTTATAAAACCAATAAAAAACACTAAAAAGTAGATATGATATCAGTTTAATATTATGGTTGCTTGATAATGAATGTATCTCCAAACATTTCTTCCATTATTAAATTTTGAAAGCAGCAAATTTCTTAACCCATAATATTCTTAGTGCTATACTGGACCTGGAATTTTACTTAATTAGCAGAGCAAAGAGGAACAACTATTTGACTTTTTTAATTAGAAACACAGAAAATCAAATATGAAGTTTTAATTACTATGATGATATTTCTGCAATTACATTTCTGTTTACTGTAACTTAGTTAAGTAATTATGAAATAATTTTAGAAGCAATTTAAAAAAACTGATCCCAGAGAGTCCACCAATAATTACTAAAACATCTTTTTGTTACAAGTACTCTTGATAAAAAGTACTTTCTAACAAGAGTGTGGTCTTTAGGCTAGAATTCTGGAACTACGTTACTGCGTTTTGGCCATCTGCAATGTGGCCGAAAACATGGATGTGATACCATGTTAGTGATGTGACTGCCGAACCCTTACTTATATCGTTATTTTTACTACTTCAGCAAGAGTCTTACTTTGTGGACAGCAAGAAGCAGAACTGCTGAGCTCCAGGGGCATTGAACCTGTCAATCGCTTCCTGTCTGAGTGTACCAGTGATGGATCCATCAATCCTCTCATACTTGTAGCCTTCCCCTTCCAGATAGTCCTCTAGGATGTCCAACATCTTGGTCATCTGGGAGAAGATGAGAACTCTGCAAAAATTGCATCAGTTACAACAATAGACCTACTATTGCAGAAAACCCCATGCGCGGTGTGTTGGTCCAATATTTTAAAGCCCTGAAAAGCCTCGACCGGAAATAAATTATGGGTCAAGCTTAGTTCGGGTAATTTATATTGGGGGTGTGCAGTGTGCACGATTTTGCCACAAATACAGGTGAGGTTTACAATTTCACCACGACCATAGGAGATAAAAGAACAAAATTATGTAAACCAGCTGTAGTACCTATAGCAATTAATTTTTAGATAAATATTTTCTAAAGGAACTTAATTTTGCTACAAGACCCGCAGGTCAACATATTTTACCAGACCCGAGGTGAAAAAATCTGGCTGTAGATTCCTACAACTTGGAAACAAAGTACAATAGACCTGATGTAGTAAAATTAATAAAAAGGCCTAAAAGATGAATATGAGGTCAAGAAAAATAATGTGATAGCAGATGGCGACTGAGGAGGGATAGGAGGAAAGAAGCACATCAGAGTTACCAGAATGGAACTAACTGGATATGTATATATTGATAGACTAAGTAAGCTATACGTGGATAAAAAGAGAGTGGGAGAGGATGGAGGAAGGAACAGTAGGAGGATAGAGAATGTTGAAGCCTAATCAACCCACACCTGGGAATAACCAGATTGAATCCTTCAGAATTGATAGACAAAACTGTACCTGTGGCCGCTGTCATGAAGTTTCCGCAACATCTTGGACAGCAAGATGAGCTTGCCCGAAGCCTTGATAAGACTCTGCAGCTCAAAAGCCCCGTTGAGGCCCAGAGGAGCCTCCTGGCTGGCAGCGGGGAACAGGTACGGATGGTTACAGCACTTCTTGAGGTCCATCATAATGTTCAGCAAAGATACCTGAAACACAACCATGTTAAGGAGAATGCTTTTGAAAATTGTGGCCTCCCATTCTTGAAAAGAAACTTAGAAACTCAACAGTTCAATGTTTCAATTTAAAGACTTTACTTTGTAAAACGTTTTGCTTTACTTATTTGTTCATTGATGAGTTGATTGAAGTCTTTATTAGTTTACCTAAATTGTTATTACCCTGGTGTCTTACAGCTTTAGTAAATTGTAGGCTAATCAGGTGATTGGCTAGCCATTTTGCTTGGTGTGAAAGATCACTTGGTCTCAAAAGTCTAAACAGAAAAATACTTAGTGGGTTGTTGCTGTTTCAGTTACGATGGCAAGCTACCTTTAGGATACCAAGTTCAACAACCAACGACAGAGTTTACTTTTGTTTGGATGTCTACTACAAAATATTGTTTTTTTTTTTAATAAAAAAAAGAATATAATCTATAGTCAGGTCCATCAGTAGCCATTTTGCTAAGTGTACCAGATTATCTGTGCCCAAGTAGTTACCATACTTACTTTAAAAAAAATCTTGTAAGAAAGAAAAGTGTTTTTAGTCGAGGGTGGTAAGCTAACAATTGAAAAGTAAATGTGGTGCTACCAAGTTTATAAAAACAGTTTCCATTCAGTGATGATGAACACAATATTTTCAGTCTAGTCAATTCAACATTAATTATATTTCTCACAAACAATAAGTTCAGGAAACATTCAATGGTACACTTAAGTTGTCTCTAGCACCGGTCGCTTGAGTCTAGTACAAATTCTATTGGCCGTACCCTTCCGCTTTCCTCTCCCCCTCACCATCACATACTACAGCACTCACTCTATAGGAACAGCCTGTGTGCTTTAACTGATGTTGTAAACAATAGCCGTTTGTACTCTTCCTTGCTCGGTACTTCTATATTTCCTCCCCACAATTCCAGAGCTAAAAGCGCACTGTTGTTCCATAAGCGTGTTCCCCTATATCTTACTTCTCTGTGGTTCAACCCAATCCTAAGTATTTAGAAAAAATGTGTTACTAATTTTGTGAAGTGCCAATCACTTATAGCCTCATAATATTAACTTAAAGATACATTTGACTATACCAGATTAACCTTTTCAGAGACTAATTTAATTTAATTACCTGTTGACCACCTCCTTTCGGGTTGAGAGCCTCGAAGTTACGAGTGAGGATGTACTTGTAGTACTTCTTCTGCAGTGGAGATAGCTCCACCCTCACGATGAATTCTGATTTTGTCGGCATGTTCTGAAAAATGGTGTGCCAATAAATCATTAATAGAGTACTGAATAATACTTACTAACTGTAAAGTGTATCACATTTCCTGTATATTTTAAAGTGATTAACACTATAACATTTAGAAACCTTGTGGTATCTCCAGGAATTATTTTCAAATTTTCATTTTTATTTGTGATTTTCCTATAAAAAACCCCCATGGAAAAACAGAAAATCTGACTGTCACAAAAACGGCTCAAACATTTTCATTCAATTAATTATAGTATACTACAGTCTTTTTAACCCTGAAATTTTACAACCCTCAACACAGTAACAGTTGTGTGATTTTCCCGTAAAAACTCAGTTACCCCTTCCACTTGACTAGCATAATCGTAATAATTTTTTTTGTTCACATAAGTAGGATATTCAATCAAATGTATGTCAAACAAATGGGAGAAATTATGTGTCAATTTGCTTATAGCCTACTGTGTATTTTAAATGCAGACGCAGACACACAGTTCGTACCTTGAGTACGTCGGCTTTGAGTCGCCGCAGCATGTGAGGTCCCAACATCTCATGCAGCCTCTTGACCTGCTCCTCCTTGGAAATGTCCGCAAACTCGTTCTGGAAGACGGTGAGGTCGTTGAACTTCTCCGGAGTGAGGAAGTTGAGCAAGTGGAACAGTTCTTCCAAGTTGTTCTGCAGCGGGGTTCCGGTTAGCAGCAGCTTGTAGGCGATGTTATATGACGCCAGGATACGGAAGAACTATGGACAATCACATGATGGTCAATCCATAACAGATACATTACCAATTCCTTCCTTTTTAATTTACGAAAAGGGAATCTTAAGAGCAAGAGGGCTTGTTAGGGTAAAATTTATTCCCACAGTACAGACTATTAATGAATATTTATTATGCTGTCAAGGTTTTAAAACTCTTCACAATCTTTCACAAGTAGCCTAAATTACGGTTTGAGAAATTAGTTTTTGACGTTATTTCTACTGGTCTCAAAAGTGCAACCTGAACTGGCAGCAGCAATGTTTTGTTATTTATTCATTACTGAAACTAAAAAAAATTGATAAAATAATACTTATCTGCTCAGTTTAAGTCTCTGATTGATTTTATTTACCGTCATATTTTACTACCATGAAAGTAAAATCCATTCAGTGTATCTTAAAGTTCCAAATTGTGGGAATACAACTTTTTTATTCCAATACAAGAGCTCATAATCATCATGAACATCAAGCTTAAGCTTACACCACACCCACCTTGGACTGGTTGCTCTTCAGTCGATGTGCCTCGTCAACCACCAGCACTGCCCACTCCACAGAGCCGAGGCAGGTGACGTCGATGCTGATCAGTTCGTAGGACGTGAGCAGCACGTGGAACTTGAGATTGTTGGACCTCACGCGGCCGGCTCGGCCCCCACGGTTGGCGCCTTCGTCAAACGAAAGCTCGTGCTCGCGTATCACTGCGCGAGAGTCTTTGTCGCCGACGTACGTGATGCAGTAAAAGTCTGGCGCCCAGGTCTCGAACTCTCGCTCCCAGTTGATGATTGTTGAGAGAGGAGCACTCACCTAGGAAGTGAAAAAGTTTGAATTTATGTATATCGAGATTCAGTTTTGGACAGATAAGTTATTAAATTTAAACATTACATCAGCTTAAGTAACATCATTGTGTTGAGACATGAAGCAGGAGATTAAGGTTAGATAGGGGAAATGAGCGGTTGTGTTTCTCAGCGTAAGGCACTATGAATTAGGGAGATATCAGTGAATGCAAAAAAAGCACTGTAAAAGACATGTGAGATAATAGTTACTCATGGGAGGCGGGGGGGAGTATATAATCTCCAGGAGAGGGAATGGATCAAAATAGAAGCTGAAGAATTATGATTCTTAATAGCTACAAAGAGCAAATCAAGGTGGGATAAAAACCGATGAGACACAGATAAGACAGCTTCCGAGGGAGAGTTTGATTTTAAAATAATTCGTAATCTTCAAAACTTTACTACAGGTTCGCAAGAGTTTTTTTTTAATTCTAAAAATCACGATGATCTAATATTACTTTGGTTATGAATTATGTGAATAAGAAAAACTAAGTAGAAACTTGATAAAAAGACTCTAATGGGGATTATTAAACAAAACTTGTTATCAAGGTTGATTTCTTATCAAGGTTTGCAAAAACATCTGATTAAGGTTGAAAAAAATGCAATTGGATTTGAAATTTACACCTGTTATCAAGGGTCTTGTTATTAAGGTTCTACTGTTTTTTTTTTATTTTGGCATTTTTAATGAACATTATTTTTACAATATGTTTTTTTTAACAAAGAGTTAAAACTTACCAAAAACGGGCCTTTGCAGTGACCCTCCTTGTACAAGGAGTATAAGAACGTGATGGTCTGAATGGTTTTTCCCAGACCCATCTCATCAGCTAGGATAGTGTCGGTGCCCTGACCCCAGGAGTACCTGCGGACAAACGTGGTGTTAACACTCATATACTTGCTACAATGTTAAAAGCTTGGCAAACGCTATGTTTATGTAATACCCTACTTCATAAAGGAATTTAGAAAAGGAAAGAATTGTTTTCCGCGATAATATGAAGTGACGGCTTAATTTTTCTGTTTCAAATCCAACACTTGTTTAGATTTCAGATACAAAGTTGGTCGTAGGCAAAATTCAAATGTACAATCAGTGAACACAATTTGGATCGAAATTAAAACCGAAGGTTGGTTAAATAATTCTCATCAATATTTCAAGACTTGATTTATTTCCAGGATCTGAATGGTTTTAGGTAATTTTTAGGGCTAAAATTGTGCAGAATTAGGATTGCAGAAGACATCTAGAATGTGTTTCTGCAGACAAAACACAATTGAGTCCAAATTCATCAAGTTCAGAAACGATTCCCCAGATTCCATTTAAAATTTGAACAATCAATTTTTGGAGCCCCAGGGAAAGTAAAATTAATCTAGCTTATACCTACTAAATTTCTACATCTTTCACAAAATTTGATTCAGTATACAAAATATCGACTAGTTCTGAAGTGATTAAATACGAATATTTATGATGTATCTATTTCAATAAACACTAAAACTTTGTACGCTATCATACACACCTGAGCCAGTTGAGCCCCTCCAGTTGGTAGGGATGAAGCATCATTCCCGTCTGTTCGATATAGTCTGGTTGTTTGTCATACTTCTTCTTGAGATCTGAGATCGGTTTGTCAGGAGGTGGTGTGTACCTTCGTCTGTAACATTTGTTACAAATTTGAAGGTATAAAAAGGCGGAAGAGTATAAAATGTCATGGATATATTCAAAAAGTAAAGTTACACACTTAATGTAAGTAAAATCATAGATAAATCATACTCCCTTAGTAGATTTGTCATCCTTATGGAACAGCTGAAGCCAATTTTATTGTTAGTTATGTACGTCCAACTGTAGAGGTTATGTTTTGTTTTGTTATCAATTTGTTTCTTGTTATTTCAGTCATTTAAAACCTCATTCAACCAAATAAAATGATTTAGTCATAAACAATAACTGGTCTCCTAGTTATATAAGCAAATAGTAAGGCACAAATCATGAAAATAACCCTAAAATAATATAAACAAAATATTGTCTACCCCAACGATCAGTGTGGACGTACATGAACTAGACATGAAAAACCAGCTTCAAAATTAACAATGGGATAAGGAGTCTACTTGTGTTGCTTAGTCTATGGTAACATATAACATGTTTTTATATCTAAAGTGCATCTATAGGTAGTATAAAAAAAAACTCACGGCATTCGAGGATCACGGTCCAACTCTTCGTCTGCAATTTCTTTTGCTTTCGTTTTCTTTCCTTTTCCTTTCTTCTTTCTCGATCCATCTGCACTATTTGCAGCCCTCAAATCCTGAAATATAAAAAATTGAGTTTACAAAACTTGGCAAAAAACACATTTTCAAAATATGACTGTGGATAGTCCAACTTATGTATTTTATTTCATAATCATATAGATTCATTATACTGTGAATAGGCCTACTTATATTTCACATACAATAACCATTCATTACCTATACAAATTAATTATATTAATGATCCTTTATCATTATGTCTGTCTTGAAAAGTAATAATATAATAGGTCTAATAACCGTAATAATGTTTATATTCTTTACTGTTTATGCATAAATATTCTCTACGAATAAATTATTTCTCACTCTTCGCAAAAATTTTGTATTATTTACCCTTAATAACTCATCTTCTTTTGCCGATATTATCTTTCCCCTACTTATATTCTTTACTACTTTGTATTCACCAGTCTACAACTTACATGGTAGTACTCTATAGCTGCCTTTAGTCCAGGGATGTCTTCACTCTCCTCCTCCCAAGTGGCCTGGTCGTAAGGAAGGTCTCTCCACTTCACCAGGTACAAGATGCTACCGTCGCGCATGTTGCGATGATTGATGATACGGTGGGCAATCAACCACTCTGGCTTCACTCCGAACCTGTGACGGACAGACAGGATATTTTAATTGTTTACCGTCCCATATTCACATCATAGGGTGTAAGGCTATAGTTCAGTTAGTCCAGAAGTAAGATTTTTTCCAAACTGAGACTAAAAAGAAAAGTTCTTTCGTTCTTTGAAATTACAACTTTAGGCCTATTCAATGAAAAGCAATTTTTTTCTTTCAACTAAAATTCTAAAACACTAAATGTAGCCATTTTTACTAAGTACGATTTTTACTGTAGATTACTTGTAAAACATTATCCTGAAATATTTCTAAGATATAAAACTTTTATGTATGGACTGGTTTAGAATACTATCGGATACAATTTGTACATGTACGGGGAGGCCTTTAGTCAACTTACATCAAGTAGTTCACTCTAAATCTCCCCAAATAATGTTTGAACTTGTATTTTGTAACGAGTACAACTACTTATCGGTACGTTAATACATGTTCAACGATTTGAAAATGTTGAGTTGATCTAGTAACAGGTTTGAACTTTTGCACCATTTTTTTTTATTTTTGCATTCAATTTTTTTTTGTAAGGGATTAGTTAAGTTTAGAGTTCCTTTTTGCTAGTGTTGACTAATTCCCATTCAGGTAAACTTTCTATCCTACAAAATATTCTTCACCTACGACAGTTTTTTAAACTAGCCGGTTCAGTTCAGTTTTTAGAATTTAAAAGATTCACTTAATACTAATAGCATTGTTAACATACTAAACAGAAATGTTTTATCTAACAAAACGATTACGGACCAATGAGGTTCAAGGTTTGAGAGGACAGATGTAGCCTAAAATTGTAATGATTCGAACTTCAACTAATCAGCTGTTTACTAATTTAATGCAGTTTAACAGTTTAACAATCAATTCAATTAGTGGTCAGTACAATGATTCGTTGCATCACCCTCAGTGGTAATGAGAGGTTATAAATGAAAACACAACCTCTCTAGGAAGTTATGAGTAGTGATCCTTAATAATAAAAAAACGGTCGTAGAAAAAGTAGTATACACAACTCACGTAAATAACCTTAACGACACTCGAAAAGTTTTAAGCCAAGGCTTGTACCTTAGATTTCTACTTGTACAGTATTGTTAACACTATCTTTACGCAATTGATGCATAAACTGTTATAAAAGGTTTAAATTGGACAGTATAAAACCAGGGTTTGGACCCTACGCTTATAAAAATGAACATCACACACCTGTAGAACTTTTCTTCCAGAACCGTCTCATTGACACTGAACTCCTTGATCCTCTTCATCCTGTTGTCCATTTCATCAAGTGGCTCCTCTAGCTTGGGAGGTTCGTCCATGTCGTACTTGCGAGTGTAACTACGGATCATCAGAGGGTGGAACACCTCCATCTACGAATAAAACAAAAATTAAACACTAGTAAATTTAAAAAGCACCATCATTTTAATGATCTAACAAAAAGTTGGCGTAATATGGAGACAAGACAAGATTTTAGACCGTTCCTTTACAAAAAGTGCCAAAGTGCAGATGGATACAAATTTTTTTTTAATGTTTCAAGTTTCAATTTCAAACTTATAAGGACAAAATTCTACGATTCTTACCAACTATGAGACCCAATAATTATTTCATATGCATTTTCTCTTACAATTCCAACAGAAATTTGTTTGCTTTTTTTTATAAACATACAGGACATTTTCAGCAAGTGCTAGGAGAGAGAATTCAGAGGAAATTAATTAACGGTAGAGGGAAGGAGAAAAAGAAAGACCTAGAAGTAATTGGATAAGGTGAAAACGGAAGTGGAGAAGAAGTACATAACTACAGTGAACCTCAATAAAAAGTCGCCCTTGATAACAAGTGTAATTTTCAAACACCCTAGATTTTTACCTCTGGCATTAAATGCAATACGTTATTGCAAAATTTGATTATTCAATAATCCATATGAGACTTTTTTTGTTATTATGAAATTTTTTTTGGCTAGCCTCACCTGTATTTCCGACACCCAGTCGCAATGCCAATACGACTTCTCATGCCACTTCACAAAGTACTCCCGTGAACGTATCGGCCGCTTCTTCTTGGTACTTGTTTGGTCGTCGGAAGTCTTGGGTTCCGGGTGAGTGACCCACCGCCATGTTAGGATCTTCTGTGCCTTACCTTTTAGTGGCTTCGCCTGCAACAAATATGCAGCTTGTGTTATTAAATAAATTAGTACTGTAGAGCATACACCCTTAATATTTTCATGATTCATTTTTATTTTAATTTATAATATTTTTTTTAACAGTGCTTAACCCTACATGTGATACATGTGGTCCGAAAAGACCAAAACACACTATTTTGGTCATTACTGGAAAAAGCAACAGCGGCCCCAGTGGCATTCGGCGGGCTGCTGAGTATAAAGGGGGGTATAAATAGTTTGTTATATCTATATTTTTGAACAAACCATTGATTGACTGATTTGAGGCGAACCTTGTCCCAATGCATGGGCTTTTTGTGCTCCAGCTTGGTGCATTAGAGCCCGTCAAATCTGAGTTGCTGTTAACTGGGCCTACGTCCGACATGATTCAATCAATCAATGGTTTGTTAAAAAAAAGGAATTCTAGATTTTTACTAGATGTTCTCAAAAAATCCTAAAAAATTAAAATAGCATAGAATACGTAAATGGAAATGAAGATGTATGACAGTTAAAGGAAATTCTTTTAGACCATTATGTTACATCAGCAAACTGCAGTGGTTGAGTGGAGAAGTTATTTTCAAATGGTGGAAATTTAAATTGATGATAAAATAAAGTAACTTATCAAAGACCAACAAAAATTACTAATACATTTCTTTTCATAAATAAATAATATATTTATTTACACATTTAAGGAAGTAAAACCAAATCATCACTATCAGCCAAGGTAAAAAGATACAACTGCTACTTCACTATGAAAGAGTAGCGATATAGTTCACTTACAGAGCAGCGGGGACACTTCCAGTCGCCGTCAGGTATATCAGTAAGTGGGGGACTGAGGCAGTGAGTGTGATACGCAGCAGGGCAAGAATCACAACACAGTAGCTCTCCTCCATCCTTACACACCCTGTAAACAAAGGGTGTTTAGTAGTAAAGGTCAAAACTAGGGGTGTGCAAACGACAGCTTTATCGGCTCGGCTTAAGATTAACTTAAGGTTCGGATATGTTTGAGCAAGCTGAATAGGTTAGCAAAATAAAAAAAAAATACTGTAGTGCTTTGAGAGATCTTGAAATTAATTCATTCGTATTCATACAGCCTATCATATTCCTCACGGTTTACTCTGTAAAAATTTTAATGAATAAATAAACTGAACTGAATGAATAAAATCAAACAGCTGACTAAATCAACAAACCATCCTACTACCACAGTCACTGTCTTTAAGGATTGGTGATTTTTACACTTACAAGTAGACAAGGAAGCAAACAAATGCAAAATATGGGGGGAATGAAGGGGTTCACGGATGGAGAGCTCATCCGGATGCTTCCAGAGGAGAAAAAAATACGACAAGAAATGAATCTTTATTTCAAGATTCAACCCCAAAATTCAATTCAGAAGTTTTCTTGAACAAAATTCATCGATCATTCTTGATCAAGCTACCTTAATCAAGTTTACCTGCAGAACTCCTGATGCTCATCGTCATCCTGCTCCTGAGTGCCCTCTGCCTCACAGTGAGGACAGCTCCATTTGCCCTCAGGCGTGTCCTCCAGCTCGGGGTCCAGGCACACCAAGTGGTACGCCCTGGGACACGTGTCACACAGAATGATCTCACCACCTTGTTGACAGACCTCGCAGTAGTCCTGGTGGTCAGTCTGTAAAGGAAAGTTCAGCGGCACGTCACAATGGGTACAACATCACAATCGTAGTGCCAAGTGGCTTAAACCTGAGAAAGTTAGAGTACAGCGGGAGCGCCATAGTTCTGAACAGCTTTAGGTGAATCAAGGGTTGGGTTTGTGTCCTAAGCCATCCGCTCAACTGAGGGGTACTAGACAGCCCAATAACAAGTAATTTTCCCTAATATTACATGGACAGTTGGACACAACTAAAACTATGCAATATTGTGATTTCTCTTACAATTTCTGTTAATTTGATACAAAATTATACACAAATCGGTAAACGTTTACACATTTTAATCACGTTTACATATTTGATATCATTGTGAGTAAAAAATATGTACACATTGATTAACTTGCAAAAAATGTGGCATCAGATTTAAAAAAAAATACTAGGAATGAATCACAATATCGCATTACTTTAATTGATCTTTCAATATAAAACATTCCCTAAAAAAATTAACGTAGTGTATTGTTTTTTACAATCGTGATGGAAAATGTCCGCAATAAACCTTTGAACAACATGTATAAGCCCCTCTCTCTGCTAAGCTAAATTTATAGCATTGGTCAAGAAATCTTGACCATCACATACTCACTTTCAAACATACTCACATAACACTTTCAAATGAACCAAATATTCAGTCCTTGATAACAAAATGGTATAAACACTCCTACCTCGTAACCGTCCTGGCCTTCCCCACTGGGGAATTTAGAGGTGGTCTTGGTCTTCTTCTTCTTCTTAGACTTGTTGCCAATCTTTGTCTTGGCTTTCTTCTTGGGTGCATCAGGTTGTACCTCTTCTCCAGGTGGCGTGTCCTCCGACGGATCCTTCACACTGGCCTCTTCAGCTTCCTGCAGCATCTGCTCAAACTCTGCGTCAGAGTCTCTGTCTGACCCAACGAAGCTCTCGTCTCCCTCCTCGTCCTGTACACATCCCATAGTTACAACACATCAACCTACTGCTCTAGACTAGCTTCTAGCTGTTGTTTAAGGTAGGAGTCTACGGGTCCTTGTATATTTTCGGGTTGAGTTGGGTTAATAGGGCGAGAGGTATAATTGGGCAGAAAATAATTTGCAGACCAATCTCAAGAGGTTGCGCTGTTTTTTTTATTTTTCTGGTTGCAAAAAGAGTCTGCAGAGTTGTGAAAAAAAATTATCAGTTACCCTTATTGCATATTATGATGTTTACGGTTTCGCTCCAATTGTGGGAGAAAATGATGATGTCGCTGTGTTCACTAATTTGATGTAACCATGCAACATTTACGATTTTACCTTGACGCAAAAATGTTCTTGATTTTTTCGTGACCTCGGAAGGTGTTTAAAATTTTAGCTGAGACCACTGACAATGTTCTCAACTTGTTTGGTAAGAAACACCTCTTCAGATAAAATGGTTAAACATTGATTGGATCTGAAGGCCCAGCTTCCAAATCAAACTTTCTTTGGTTGAAAATGCTGTATGTAAGAGTGAAATCTTATGCTGTTTAAGTAGTCAAATATTGTGTTTCTTGTGCCCAGGTAGACTCCTTTCCATGAAGTTAGCTATGCTATGGGTTTCTGCTAATATTGAGGCCACTGTTACGATCAAAGTAATAATTACAACAAATTTTGGCTTGGAAGCTATATTAACAAAACCAAAAAAAAACTAATTTTAGATCCGGATAAAACTGCTGTTTGCCCTTACTTTTACTGGAGAAAGTGTTGATGAGGTTGATGAAGTTGATGTTTGCAATGTCTGGAGAAAAAACCATCTGTTTAAGGTTTATAATCTCAATCTACGGTGTTTACTTATGTGTCTTGAACTGATATAGCGACAGAGAGTTAATAATTTCATGGAGACCTAGGCATGAAGAGTTCATGTATTGCATAGGACAAATACCGCTCGGAAACTAGATCGTACTTTCAGGCAACTCAGAGATTACCCAACCTCAACAGCTGTTTTGATACTCAATTGTTTTTCTCTACATGTGCAAACAAAAACCATGCTTCTAGCTACTAAACACAGAATTACCAAACAGTTTTGTGCAACATTCCAAACTGGTGCAAAGCAACATTCAAGAGATTTACTTTGAAGGTTTCACACATTTTTTAAAATTATCAGTGCTTTTTGCTAAAAATGTGCTATACCAAAAGTAAAACTATTTGTGGTGAGTCAGCTAAATAACGTTCTTTCACAAAAACTCAGTATTGTCTGATATGTAAGAAGAGTGAGAAAATTTCAAATACTTTTGTATGAACTACCTGTCATGAACTATCTAACATGACAACAAAACAAAATCCCTAGTGCAAACAAAGCTTAGATGATTAAATTATATCAGGGTTCACAAAACAAAGAAATATATTGAACATTTTCCCTCTTGTATTTAAAATTATAAGAACATATAACCATGGATGAGTTTAGCTAGGTATTATTTTTAGGGATGGACGGGTCCCGAAATTTCGGGAATTTTTCGGGAAAAAAATATTCCCGATTATCGGGACGGGATTACATTTGATTCGGGAATTTTTCGGGACGGGATTTGGTCCGATCGCCGGCGATTTTGCCGCTTCGCGAGTGCCGATGACGCCGCTATTGCGAGCGATAGGTCCGCGAACGCAGGAGACGAAGTCGTTTCGACGATTGCGCCGTGACCGCGGAGTCATACCGACGATCGCGCCGTGACCGCGGAGCCATACCGACGATCACGCCGTGACCGCGGAGTCATACTGACGATCACGCCGTGACCACGGAGTCATACCGACGATCACGTCGTGACCGCGGAGTCATACCGACGATCACGCCGTGACTGCGGAGTCATACCGACGATCACCCCGTGACCGCGGAGTCATACCGACGATCGCGCCGTGACCGTGAGTCATACCGACGATCATACCGTGACCGTGAGTCATACCGACGATCATGCCGTGACCGTGAGTCATACCGACGATCATGCCGTGACCGCGAGTCATACCGACGATCGCGCCGTGACCGTGAGTCATACCGACGATCATGCCGTGACCGCGAGTCATACCGACGATCGCGCCGTGACCGTGAGTCATACCGACGATCATGCCGTGACCGCGAGTCATACCGACGATCGCGCCGTGACCGTGAGTCATACCGACGATCATGCCGTGACCGTGAGTCATACCGACGATCATGCCGTGACCGCGAGTCATACCGACGATCGCGCCGTGACCGCGAGTCATACCGACGATCATGCCGTGACCGCGAGTCATACCGACGATCGCGCCGTGACCGTGAGTCATACCGACGATCATGCCGTGACCGCGAGTCATACCGACGATCACCCCGTGACCGCGAGTCCTTTCGACCGCGAGTGTCAAGTTTCTATAGGTACCTGAAAAATTGTTACCCATTTTTTGGTTTTTATAGATCAGTGCCACAAACGGTAAAGATTGATTTTGTATGCCTTTTTTGGTAACTGCAATACTCAAGACTTTCTTTTTATGCACAGAAAAAAATCCCGTCCCTTCCCGTCCCGAAAATCGGGAAGGAAATAAAAATCCCGTCCCGTCCCGTCCCGAACTAAAAATTCAATCCCGTCCATCCCTAATTATTTTATATTCTTTTAACGTTTGTTCGTGATTTCACGATTATCATAAAATCGGTGATTTGAAAGTTGTGTTGTTTCTTCAGTTTAAATTCTGTTGACGATTACGATTAATTGATTTACAGTGCCTTGACCCACCACAACTATTTCCTTGCAAGTTTGATAGTAACACTAATGAAGAGGTTTTACCACAAGACGACACCGATACTAACTGAACTAGCCTGTTTGCGTTTTCCCAATTTTATTTTCAGTGTTGGAACTTTGGTCGTCGCGACGGGCGTGTTCTTTTTGCTGTTTCCTTTCTTGCTGCTTCGTCGTCCTTTGCGACCCCTCTTCTCTTCCTTCTCTTCAACATCTTCTTCATCCTCTTCTAGGGCTTCTTCTGTTGCCACGGAAGACTGTAATTCAATTTCAAAATTAACAGCTACTCAATTATATGTGCCCCTAAAAGAGTGACTAGTTTAAATAAAATTTGTGGAATGAAGAAAATTTTAACAAGGAGCAAAACTGTTAATGAAAAAAAAAACGGTACAGTAAAACCCTGACCAACCGAAAAAAAGGGGGGAACAGATGTTTTGGATAATCTATTTTTTTCAGTTCAATTGTTGAAATTAACGCTATTTCGGTCCAGATTTTTATACTAGCTAAAGGGTAATCGACGGTCTTTCACCAAACTTTATTGCTCAGGCAATGTCATATCCCCGTTGTCATCTGCTCCATTACAAGCTGGGCCAACAAAAGGGCTAAAAATACTTGATGCTTATCTAATTTTCAAATTGAATTTAATCTTTTATGATTACAATCACCCTGAGTTTTAGTTTAACAGTGTGTGGTTAAAAAGGGGTTTTACTGTAACTGCGACCTTTTTATCCAACTGGTGTAGACAAATGTTTATATTTAAGTGTTAACAGTCCTTTACATTCATAATAATTATGTCATACAAAATTATTCACTAGTAACAAACAGCACACATTGTTGAGTATTTAGTAGCCTGACGTACTTTGGAGCGGGACCGGCTAGGTTTGGGAGTATAGTCTGGCTCCTCAGAGACGCCGTCTGACTCTGCCTGTTGGTTCGGGTTGAGGTTGCAGAAGTCCCTCCACTTGGCAGCAACCAACATCATCATCTTGCCTGTCGGCACCTGCGCACAGAGTGACACAAAATAGTTTATTTGACTTATGAAGTTAACCACAAATTAAAGGTACATAAAATATTGGCCTGTCTGGTCTCAGTGACTAACTGTCCGTGAGTGGATCGTATACAGCTAAGCAATGAGTGGGCCAGTACAAAGGTGGTCTGTACTGATAAAATGTTTTAGGCAGTGACCAGGATCCGAACCCACGACATCGCTGTCTTGGGCCCGATGTCCATGATGCTACCAAATGATTCACGGACTCACTAAAAAAATGTTTGCTTTTCATCTTTTACCAACAAAAACACTGATCACAGAGGAAACCTCACGACTGGGGGATTTGCAAATGACAGTGCTGATTTTAACACTCCACTGCTTACAAACTACAAGTGGTATTATACATGCATGTTCCCATGCCTGTATGAGTAGGTACTTAGTGTGGGAACGCTCTGATGCTAAGATGGCGGCAATAGCACCGTCTCTAGCGGCGCAGATGCAAAACATCTGTCACTTAATGAGGCTTCGAACATAGTACAATTTTTTATTGTTCATTAACTTGGTAAAAATAATAACACTATTGTTGTTGTCATTGCTATCTTGAGTCAGTGAGGCAGAACTTTAAACTGCAAAATAAGATTACCTGCTTCTTGAACATTGACAAAATTGAACTATGCCTACACAAATGATGATAAATATTATGATGTTGAAATAACTTTATTAAATGTGTATAAAAAGAATATTTATACAAATTACCAACTGAAGTAAAATACAAAACTTATACAACCAAACATAACCCTCCTCAATCTATATAAAGCATCACATTCACAAACATCTTTTTCGAGTAAATAAACAAACACCAGTTCATTGTACTGACCAGCTGTTTCATTAACTAAATTAAATAAAATAAAATAGTGTAAACTTTAGAAGCATATGCCAGGCGAAGCTCTTTGGAAATCAGCCTGTGGGGCAGAGCCCTCAGAAAATTTGTCCATATCAATACTTTTTGGCAAATCTACACACTCTAAGCTTCATTTTGATGTGAGATATGTCTATGTTTTTATTTGGTAAATGACCTTAACCGTTTACATAAAATTTGATTGTATCACTTTAATAATATAATAGATTTCTACAATGGAGTCAATTATTATGAGAACTACATACATAGCGGGTAGGTTGATTTTTGCTTACTTCGACAAAACTAATTGTGGCATAGGGGTCGGGATCGACTAGAATAATAGTGGGACAAGTACAGAACACGATTCCGGTGTAAGATTTGAACTAGCTTGACCTACTGCGACTGAGCTAAATGACGAACCTTGGGGTTGTCCTTAGCCAGTAGTGGTCTGACATGCTGTTGGAAGAGTTTGTAGGTTGTGAGATTCTGGAAGTCTGCGTCTGTGTACTCTATGTGGACGTCGTTCAGGCCAAACGTCTGACACACCTCCTCCACCGTGGGCATACCTACACACATACACCGGTTAATGGAATGGTATTGGATTAGGTTGTATCCGTTTCTGGCCATGGTATGTCGACTTCCACGACTCAAAGGCCAACAATCAACTTTTTCCATGTTGCCTATTCGTAATTATATGCGTAATTTTGTTGTGTATTCAACGAAGATACTGCAGACAAATTATGTTAGTGACAAAAGGTGTTTGATCATGGCATTCAAGACAAAACATTTTTAACACCATATCTAAACAGTTTTAAACTCCGCTTGGGAATTTATAGTTACTTATTAATGGGATAAACATTTTAATTAAGTAGCCTACAAAACAAAATTAGATCCTTATCATCTGTTTTTGTTTAAGAGACTGTGTGTCCATTAAGACATTTAAAATTGTTTATTTGTGTTGTTTATAAGTGAAATGTACATATAGGTACCGGTGCCAAAACTTTAAAGGGATATGCTACTGGTATAAAATCGTTAGGTAAATCCAGGTTACAAAGGATTATTACCATGACTAACTCTCATAGACACTGTCCTCGTATAATGAGCAAAGATTGTACCACGTGCTTCCCTCGCTAAAAGTCGTTGAATGGAAAACCATTTTAAGAAACAATAACTTAGGCCTAACTCATTGATAAAACTTTTTATTTGAAGTTTTTTATGCCACTTTCATTTAGAATATGTTTACAGTTTTGCAGGTTGATTTTAAGTTTGACAGTGCATCTATTGGAAATGTTATTGCATGTATAAAATGTTTCAATGTACCTGAGTTTTCCTGAGCAGGCTGCGGAGTGGAGGCCTGAGAGTGTTTAGTTCCAGAGTCTCTGCCTCGCTTCCTTGACTTGCGGCCGTAGTCCGAGTCCCCTCCCTCTTCTTCCCCTCCACCATAGTCACTCTCCTGAAACGAACAACGTCAGAATGAGAGTTGCATGTCAATAACTCCTCATTAATGGGACCAATAAAACATCTACACTAGGGGCCACGAGAGTCTGCAGTTGGCGGCAGCCAATAGCAAGACTGGACTAGCGCAACGTTGCAACATCGTTCACTAATTTTCGACTCTAAATCAGCTGGTATTATTAGACTTGGCAACACCGCACTGTCCTCATTGGCTCATTTGAAGTCACATGGTAAATAGGCTCCTCCCTCAACTGCACACTCTCCTGGACCATACTGTAATTACCAAACATAACACGACATAATAATAATGAATAATAAAAAACAATAATGAAATTTGTTTTGAAGGAATAAGGCGGGATAAACTTGGATGAGTTCTCGAATCAGCATGATCGAACCATGGGAACAGGGTATTATAAGGTAAAAATTGGTTTTTCTCATTTTTGAACCTCAGAAACACCAGGGCCGCCCCGAGGGTAATAGACGCCCGGGGCGAGATTTAAATTTTCGCCCCCTCCGGCCCTCCCCTAACTAAGGTATTTGGGGATTTTGCGTCAATAGACCCAACGTCCAATATATCGATATCAAACGCTTTGCAAGTATTTTTTTATAAATGTAACAACTATACTGAACTAAATTATTAAAAACATTGAATTTACGACTCACAACGGACATCACGAAAAGACTATGACATAGTGTTATACAGTCAATGAAAAGAGTAGAAAAGTATGTAAGAGTTTGAGCTTTGAGGTTAGAAACAAGCAAGTGTAGGTGGGGCGTGTGGGCGAATACGCAGTATGTTTGTCTCAGACTCGCAGTATTGCCAACAAGTCACATGCCAGACGTAAAAGTAGTAATAGTACGAGTTGTAGGCTATATTAAATAACACGGTATTTATTTTATAAACAAAAGTAAAGGTATAGATTGCCTTTTTTTAGAATAGTCATTGATTACATGTTTACGAGTTCCCCTAAAATATTTGTTTGCCGTTTGGCCGATAACGTTGTTAAATTTTAAACCTTCCACGGCGCCCAGGGCGATCGCCCCGCTCGCCCCGCCCTCGGGGCGGCCCTGAGAAACACAAGATTTCCCAACGTCTCTCTAGACCTTTTAATAAGACAAATAATTTAGTATATCAAAAGTGTTTTTGTATAGTGATTGGTTACAGAGAAAATTAAATAGTAAATTTTAAAATTCCCATGTTATTCTGATGGGGAAAATTGTAAAATGTTGTAGTTTGCTTGTTTTATGGATATATTTTACCAATCTTGGCAAATTAGTTTATCTTATAGTACCAAGCTATAAATATTTTACAAAAAAACACATTTTATTAGTTTCCCTGTAGCAGAAAAACTAGGTAGTCGTTAAACCAAATTTTATTTAAATAGGTTTAATTGAAAATCAAATCGGGCAAATGGAAATTCGCTTAGACAGCTGGTTTGCTGTGCGGGGGTATTTTTAAAAAGCCTTAGAGGTACGATATCTCCTTATATTTACCAGAGTACCTGTGTTCAAGTAAAATTGTCCAGTATAAATTATAACCTTTCCATTTTAACCCCTCTATTGTTCAAGCATTTTTTCAAGATTTTTTAAGAACAGTTATAGTAATTAGTAATGCTAATTTAATATATATTCAACAAAAACCTATAAAAATAGCCAAGATAATAAACTATCAATCAAGTTTAATCCAATAGTTTTCATTCATAACTCACCTCAGCACTGTCGGCTTTTTTCTTCTTCTTTCTCTTCTTTTCCTTCTTTGACTCACTCCGAGCTTTCCTCTTTTTGCCTTTCTTTTTCTTTCTACCATCATCAACTTCTGCATCTTCATCATCGTCCTGGAAAAAAAGTTTGTCTCATAATGCCTACCTACAAGATGTGGTTTAATCTGACCAAATTAATAGAACAAATAAATTTACCTTAGGCCTACTTGTTTAAGTTTACTAGTAGAAATAAAGTATCTTAGGTAATTTTATTTCTGCATCTTACTACATCTTAAGTGCACTTTGTTCCACGTTTGATTCCTTAGGAGTATTAAGGTGGCCTACAATGTGAATCTCCTTAGGATTGTCAATCAACGTGTTTTCAGGCAGGAACGGGACATTAAATATTACTTGTTACACTGCTAACTGTAAAAGCGAGAAAAATTAAAATCTAAACTCATAAAAAGCTATGTGTAACAGTCATTGGTGGTTCTACACGACCTTGACAGGGGGGCTACCGAGGGTGTTCAACACAAGGAGCTGGGTCTGGAAAGTCTCCACCAGGAAGTTTACTTTTTAAAGCCGTTTGGTGATTTTAAGGTCTAGAACTGTGTCCGAAAACCTCCTAAGTTTTATGACAAAATTAATGTTTAGGGGCCTACATTTACATTTCCAGGGCCGATGGGGGCTTTTAGCCTCTATAGCCCACCCTTGGAACCGTTACTAGTTACGGTAGACAAATTGTAATGTCAAACGCACAGACCTGATAAATAAATAGAGTTTTAAACTTGAAGCGGAAGGTGAATGACAACTTTGTAAGAAAAATATTTTGTAAGAAACAGTGGCCAGACTTTCCAAGTAACGTAGGAAATACGTAGAGAGAGTCGTAGTTTAGAAGAGAAACTTGTAGGCCTATGTACTAAGGATAACAATATTAGTTACATAAGCTTGAGCCAGAGATTGGATAGCCTCTGTTGGCATGGCGTAGCTATTAAAACCTCCACTTACCTCCACTCGTTTTTCTTCATCGGACTCCAAAGAATTTTCTTCAGTGCCATCCCTTCTTTGGGTTTCTTCTACTTCTTCATCTCCTAAAGATCACAAAATTATTTAAGTTAAGCTAAGTTAGGCGGAAGTCGGCCTACCATGAAATGAATTTGGAACCGTCTATTATTACAATAGTAATAGTCTTACAATTATAAATTGTTATATAGACCTAATAACGGTACCAAAGTAGGCCCTGCCCTGTATTTCGCCAGTGTTTACAACAATTCTCCGGTAGTTGATAACCCAACCTTATATAACCGCAGAAACGCGCTGTACACATACTTGGCGGACTACATGTGGCAGCTAGGAGCGGCGACGCATTTAACCCAATCCTTGCTGACATCACTGCCTTCTGGGAGGCAGAACTTCAAGGCCGCTAATTGTAGGCTTAATCATGTCAAATTTGGACAGTTAGTCAATTAAAATATGTTAGGCCTATATCAAATTATCTGTCCCTTTGTAGAGAACACCGGAAGACTCTACCTTCCCCTACTTCAAAGTATTTAGCCCAAAATCTTAAGTTTAACCACAACTTGATTCAGTGAGATCAAACTTCAGAGGAAAGTTGAGGATTGTACAATTGATAGGTTATTTTCAAAATTCAACCCTTCATCGGGTGGATGATGGCCACTTGTGAAAACTCCCTTACATTCTGACAAAAATCGGATACAGTTCCGCAGAGAACCTGCAGAATAACTTATTTTCAGAGATAATATATAGGTAGGCCTACCTATTGATAATTCGGTTCAATATTATTATTGCATCAAATTCAAATTAGGCCCTAAATTAATTATATAGGCATATGTTATACCAGTAACTTAAATAAATAAACAAAACTGAAAAAAAAACAATAAGCTTAGGCTTAAGATAAATTTTAAAACAGATCATATTTAAACTAAAAGTTTGAATCGGAAAAAAAATGTTGAAGCGATACGGTACCTGACTTAACTTAAGATTACCCTACAATCGCTAGTCTATAAGTTAGCTTATATCAATATTCAAATCAATAATATATCACAGGTTCTGTGTGGAACCAGGGTATCTTATATATCCCATAAATCAACATAGCGTAAGTCCCCTAAGTTAGCCTACCAACTGAAAATAAAATGTGAACCATGCAGTTTATTGAAAGGAAGTTAAGTTAGGCCTATCTTAAATAATACACAAAGGATACATTCAATACCAGAATGCTTATAATGCATGCTGAAACTCAACCCCCCAAAAGTCAGAAATGATTGCCACAAACTTAATTTAAGAAACTCAAAACTTATTTAGCAGCAACACAGACTTAGCAAAACTAGTAAAAAACCCCAAATAAAAGGATCAAAGCTATTTAATATGTTACCAGAGAATTTGAAACTAATCCACAATGACAAAACTTTCTTGAAAAAACTAAAACAATATTTGCTAAACAAACCATACTACGACCTAAATGAATTTTTTGTAGATCAAAGCATCTAAAATAGACTAAACCATCAAACTGCTCTCAACCTATACTAATACACACATACACATACACAAACAAAAGAAGAATGACAATACCCTGGTCTCAATGACTACAGTGAAGAGGACCTAGGTAAAAGGTAAAAGGTGCTTTAACTTATGTATATTTTCACATAGGCTAAATTTTTACTTAATTCATAGACTAAGCAACACAATTAGACTTCTCATCCCATTGTAAATTTTGAAGCATGTTTTTTGTGTCTAGTTCGTACGTCCACACCTAATCGCTGGGGCAGACAAAATTTTGTTTCTATTAGCCTATTTTTTTTAGGGTTATTTCGGTGATTTGTGCTTTACTATTTCGTTATATAACTAGGAAACCACTTATTGTTTATGATTAAGTTATATAGTTTTATTTGGTTAAATGAGGTTTTAAATTAGGCCTACTGTTCTTGTAATAACAAGAAACAAATTGTAAACAAAACACGATCACTACAGTTGGACGTACAAACTAACAATAAAATTGGCCTCAGCTGTTCCGTAAGGATGAAAAATCCTTATATATAATACGTGAAGGCAATTTCTACGAAACACTACTGAGCTCCCGTTAATAATGGACAGATTTTTACAAGCGATGTGTCAAAATTAGGCCTAAGTATTTTTATTTTTGTAGACGCCCCCTTTCACCAATTCCTGTTATAAAAGTCCTCGGGCTTTGCCCCACAGACCATCAAAATCCCAATGTAGCCTATTTCTTATGAAAAAAATTATTTTGTTTATTAAACAGACGAATAATTTTTATTACTGTACCTTATAGGCCTAATTACAGCTGTTTATACTTAGTAAACACATGATACATACAAGAACGTTTGTTTTCAGAATGAGTTTATTTTCAGTTTCCATAAATGGAGTGGAGTGACCTGTACATTCAGTTTATCATTGAGTCATCGGAAATTTTTACTGTTATTTATTTTGAAATGACGCCTGTAAGGCCTATTAAGTTATTACCTAAGGGAGTATGTTTTATCTACGGTATGCTTAATCTTTGCAAGTGTGGAGACAACCTCTGCTAGCCTAAGTGCCCATTAAATTCAATGGCTTCCTAAAACTTGAATTTTTAAAACAAATGACTTCATTAGAATGAAACATAGGCTAGGCCTACTTAAGTTTATTAAGTTACCTAACTTAGCCTAACTTATTAGAATGAGTTTATTATCTTGAGTCTTAGCCGATCTGCAGTGATTAACTTACTTGGACTCAGGGTTGCCAACTTAGGTTAGGGAAATATCGGGACATGGCTCTCCTCCCCCCGGATTAACATACCGGCTGGCTTAAATACAGGCATAAGGAACTGAAATGGAGACTGTCCCAGTAGAATCGGGACCGGTGGCAACCCTGCTTGGACCAAACTTAGGCCCAGGTCTAACTTACGTTTTTTTTTTATGAAAGTAAGTTAGCTTACCTAGCGGTACCTAGGCTATCTTACTAGTAAACAAAGTTTATGTAGGCTAGGCACCATGGCTATGGCAATCATTGAAACAAAAAAGTGTAACTTATGTAGGGCTTAAAGGCCCTATCTACCTGTTAATAACTACATGTAACAACGGTATGGCTTTACCTATATCTAATATTGTTAAAATATTCAAGCTGAGGCCTATTTCATAGGTAATGTTTTGATAAGTAAGGAAGATTTTAAACGTCCAAATGGGACAGGCCAAAGTTCAAATTTAGAGGTTAAGTTGTACAACCATCACAAATCCAACCTAATTTCGAAAAATAGTGACTGTGACAGTAGATGCAGGAAAAAATATTTTTGAGTAATAAATGCCGATTTCTTTGTTAGACGTCCTCCATTTTGTTGAAGGGTCATGGAATCCCGCGTACTGACAAGGAAAAATAATGAGATTCCCCCCTCCTCCCTATCATTAAAACCTGCACTTTTACTGAACACAAAACATTCTTAAAATAAATAAGCAAGCTATTTCTTGGAAAATAATCATACATTACGATTATAATTACCGTGTAAACGTTATTTCGCGTGAAAACCGCAATACTATGAAGAAGTTACGAACTTGAAATTGACTCCGCTTTGAGCTTGGTTGAAACAGACAGGCATGGTTGGCGTTTCAACTTACCGGCATAAGATTCATCCATTTCTTCGTCAGAAGCCATAATTTAAATAAAAATCACTTCACTTATAACTTAATTTCAGCATACAAGTAACACTTATTATTTACCAACACAAACTGACAGTATTTGTACACAAAACAGTTGCTCAACACACAGATGATCACAACAGATTTCAAGGAAGTAGCGACAGACGAGCGACTGTTTCGCGTTCTGCGCATGTGCATTGAGTCGCTTCCGATGACCCGGGATAATTCGCTATGCTGGAAAGCGAGGGGGGATTGGAAACTTGGGAAATAAATGTTTTTTCTTATTAATTGTCTTTGATATTTGAACATTTTACGTTTAATATGACTGTAAATGTTTTCCATATTTAAAACCATAAAATAATCCGATATAATTTGTATTTATATTGTACAAGTTGTCATTTATTTGTTGCATTTTAATAATTTAGATTTTCCTACTTATTAAAACAAGTGTATGTACATCCAGGTCAAGTATCGATCAATGATAAAGATGGCGGAGAACCTGGAGTAAGACAAAGGAATATTATTATAACAACAAAATAAGACTCGCTGTTCTATCCATTTATATCCTGATTCAAAAACATGCGTCATTGTTGATATTTTCTAAATATAACAACTAAATTATGTTCTATCCTTGAACATGGACAAATACGATCTCATTCCTTTGTTCATTTTTTAAGGAATAAATTTAGGAAGGCTGTAAATATTTTGCAAGAACAGTATTGCTAATGATAATGTGAATACGAAAGCGTTTTTTTTTTTTTTTTATCAACAATGTAAGTTATTTAATTATTGAAAACTAAACCATAAGCCTAACTGCAACAAATTTTGAAAGCTGTTGGCCCTTACAATTTTGATATTTTAGTTGTTGGTAATTTAGAGTTTGAATAGGCTTAAAAAATTAAAACATTAGCACTATATGAGATTAGGCTATACATGTATGCAAGAAGTAAGAAAAGAAGCGTATTATACCACTTGATAGGGATTTAACCATAGTATTGCTGGTTATTCATGTGTAAACATAGTATTCAAGCGTTAACTTGATATCTATTACTGTAGTTTAACTACATTCTTGTGTTTGTTAATTCCTATAATGTAATTTTGTAAACATATTTTACTGAAGCAGTGAATGAGTGAATCAGCTTTTAACAATGCGCCACAATTTTTCTGTGTTTTACAGTGCGCATTAATTTATTGTTTACGTCGGTAAATAATTGGAAGTTTAAAACTACAGATTTAGAACCGCACTGTTTTAATTTATTATTTATGTTAAAATGTATTACTGTATGTAAAACCAAAACCAAAACAACAATACTGTCATCAGGATCGTTGTGTGTGACACCTGTCGGCAAGCTGATGAGATAAAATAATGCATAGTTCCAAACCAAGTGCGCCTTTTAAATATGTATCATAAAATTTAATTAATTAATTAATTTAATTAATTTGTCTTTATTATTTAGACACTTAGGGCCTACTTTGAGACTTTCTCCTAAAAAAATAACATTTATTACCCATATTAAAATAGAATTAGTTAAACGAGTACTTAGGTTTGCTGCAACAGTGAGGGTAAAAAAGTGTTTTTTGTTGTAAAATATTAATATTTTAGGAAGAAATTAATGTATTTTCCAAATTTGATCAAAATATTTTCATAAACAAGCAAACTACAACATTTTAATTATTCTCCATAAGAATAACATGGGAAATTTAAATGATATGAATTTGAACGGATTGTGGTTATGAGTACTCATGTGGTTAACATGGGAAACTACAGAGCCACTGGGGCGGAGCCCTTTTGACGGATCTGCACCAAACTTCACAAAAACCATCCTCGATTTACATAGGTACCGATTACAATACAGGCGCTCAATATGGCCCCTTAAGGTGCACAGCACATGTGCAACTTGCAATAAAAACTTACTTAGGTAGAAAAAAGTTGTGAAAACAATAAATAAATGCAAACAATAAATGCCAATTTTTGAAAGTAGGGCATTTTTTGGGGTGAAGGGGTGCGATTTTCGATAAACGCCGAAGAGTGTCTTGTAAAAAATTTAATTCCTGACCATAAAAATGCTTTCTAATCTTTGCTAGCTCTTAACGCGTTCTAGTTATAGCAGTTTACAAAACACATGATTGTCATATCCTGATGTCCACCATTTTGGATTTTTTGGGTGATTAAAATTTGAAAATGGGACTTTTTGGTATTTTCCGTGAAACTCGAGAACTTCCCCTTTCTAACAGTATATTGTCCGATTAAATCGGATTCATAGTTGAGTAGTTAAAACTTTTCAAAATCGGATGATTCTTTTTTAAACATCCGTATCGAATCTTATTTAGGTAGACCAATTGTTTCATTTCGTTTCTTATGAAAATAGTATAATATGAAGAACTCAGTAATTTATGAAAATGCAGACTCCTTTTCCGAATGCCTCAATTCCAATTTTTATTTGATTTTCCATTGGCTTAGAAACGTCGCATAGAAATTGCTAGAAACTTACAGAATAGAGGACAAAGGAGAAAGACTAGAACAGCGTGATTGAGAAGGCAGTGAGGTCATCAACCTTGCGTCAGCTGTTTTTACAAACAGGTAAAATAGAAGATTGCCGCATTACATCATTGCTTATTGTTGTACATATTATAGCCGTTGGCTTCGAATATCTCTACAACCAAGACTTCTCATTCTCTTGTAATATTAATCATGTTAGTATCCCTCTTCCACCATGCTGCCATGTTAAGGAGTGATGGGACATTTGTAAAATATGCCAGAAAATCTTAAACATGCAATCACGCACAACAATGTACTAAAATAAATTGTTGTTAAATTATAATCCCTCATGAATGCGCTCAAATAAACTATCAAGACATTGAAAAAAATATGAAAAGATGACAGAGAAACAACGTGATGCATTTTTATGATTGACACAACAACAATGGTTGCCGTTGTTACTGGGAACAAACTAATCTAATGTTAGTTATCGTATTTTAGACATTTTCTAGTATTTCTTATAAGTGACTCCATTTGAGCAACATAGACATGATTGCGTAATTGAGCAAATGAACAATTTGTTCCTATTCAAACATATTGAGCAAAACTAGGCCGTAATAAGGTGGTTTGCAATTTTAGTTCATCAGTTACCGTGACATTTCGTCTTATCCAATTTAATACGTTTCTCATGAATGTTTTCGTGTTTGTTTGGAATTTGTTTGCTACAGGTCCTGCTAGAATTTAAACTATTTATTTAGTAAAGCCCGGAGAGTTTATAAAACGGCGCAGATTTTAACATATCCGGACACTTTCTTGTATACAGGGTGCGAAAAAATGCAACACACCAAGGTTTTTTGAGATTTTTATCAAACATATTAATTTTTATCTTTGAATCTATTTATAATGGAGTTTTTACAACTGATCCTACGTCATTTTCTATTATTCTTATTCAAAATTTAATGTAGAACACGAAAATTACATTATCTACTCAAATCCATACACAGGTAATTGAGAAATTGATGTATTAAGTTTAAGAACATAGTTATTTTTGAAAAACATATAATATTTTTTTGGGAAGCTAATTTTTAGACTTGGAACCTTTTATATGCATCATCACACTTCATTTACTTTGTACTTACACCAAAAAAGTTTGGTCACACTGAGTACCAATCATCTATACTTATTTAATACGCAAGCAGGATTTTTGTGACAATTATTCCTCCGAAACTACTGAACCGATTGACATGTTTTTGGTGTCATTGGAAAGAGCGTAACGTGAAGTTGTGCAGGAAACTTTCTTTTTAGGTAAATAATTAGAGAGTGAGGCCCTGGGACCCTTTAAAGTTTCGTATTTCTCCATAAGATTAACACGGGAAACAAACATTGTTTTGAAACTCCAGCTGTTGTCAGGAATTAAATATTAATAATTAGTTGCTCCCCATGGAAGCATGAGAGTTCTGTAGAGTTTGTAGCCTATTATCAATTATCAATTATCAATTATTTAAGATGGGGACGCCACTATGTGCGTATTTTAACCCAAATATGACCTACACCTTATTGTCTACAAATTGGCTAAATAACTTAGGTACAGTACATTATAAAAGCTGACAGACTTTTTATTTTGACTTAAATTGTAAGCTTACCATTTCCCGTCCATGGGCAGTTTGATAGTTAAAAAATAACCCTTTAAACTGGAATAGGACTGTTATGTAAATTGTGAGTATTTCCATTAGTTAATAATCTTTTAGTTGACTCTTTTAAAATCATCGGAAATTATGACTGTTATTAGTTTTTTAACAAGTCATTTGTTTATATGTAACTCCTGTACTTCTTTGCAATTGCTCGATTTCGAGCAACATGTACACTAGTCATGTATTAACGTCCGCACTAGTGAGTACTTCCGACTATCCGCAGTACTGTCCTGATAATTTGTTAATACCAAAGTCAAGAATGTGGTTAGAATTCCACTACTAGGTCCCTTAGTTGCCTTTATTAGCTGTTTGGGCTATTAATAACAGCTGTTTCTAAGGAATTTTTCGGCCTTAGTCACTAACAAGACCACAAGATCGCGCCACTCATCCTACACTCATCTCCATTCATAACATGGCTTAAAATACCTACTTAGAATGGACGCCATTTCAATGAAAAGTATTCAAAAGTATTAAGGTATTTAAAGGAAGCCATAGTAAATTGAAGCGTTTGTGTTATTTGTATTTATTATTTTTGTATGTGTGGTTTTTATGTGACATTAAAAACAATCAATGATTTCTTATACACTACATAACCCTAGTTGTAGGATTCGGGGTTTTCACAATTTGCTTCCAATATTAATATAAAAAGGTGAATGTGCAGTTATAAATGAGCGTATCTTATAAACATAAAATATAGGTGTAAACATAGAATATTTTCATAGGTGCATCGGTACCACTTTTATGTATTCCCTTGTAGCCTAAGTGCTCATGAGTTAACAAACACCGAGTTTTATTAAGATAACTTATTGTTGAATTTCGTTTCTAAATTTGTAAAACCAAATACGGCATTTAAAGAACCAGAATTGTTTTCTTTACATTCTGGTCCCGTTGTAAGCACTGGTATAGAGACTGGTAAAAATCCTAAAAACAATATTGTTATTTACTGTATTCCACAAATTTAAAAGAATAGTGCCAGGAGACCGAGCTTGGCTCGGATTGAATTATAC